CTCTTGCTTGCTCTTCGATTGCCTACCCCACCCAATAGCTCTGACGCATTTCGCCCGTTCGTCCAGCTTCGCCGTCACCTCCATTCGTACAGTGCTCCGCTTTGATCATTCCATATGTGCATATTTCATTGCGCTTTTTGCCTTCAACTTAAAGTTTTTTTTTTTTTTTTTTGCTTAGGCTGTTTTTATATTATTAAATGAATTGCAATTTATTACAAAGCGATCTGATTATTAATTGGTTTTGAATTGATTGCGACCGGCGGGCGACTCGCTACTGCAAACGCAGCGGCGACTGCGACGGTAACGGCGACGCCGACGATGACTGCGACTGCGACTGCGTGACCAGCGCAACGTTCAGTGTGGCGAATTCTGCGTGCATGTCTCTGGCCGCACGTAGACCCCGCTCCAACTGGACTGACTCATCAAATGTAAAGCTCCAATTAGCAGCATTTTAAATTTTATATCATCTTAAAAGTCGAGCTTAAAACGAATTTTAAGTCAACTTTAAATGTCAGAGTATCGAATTGATTATTTCTTTCTTTTTTAAAAGAATTGTAGTCCAAATAAGAGATTTGACAAAAAAAAATAATAAAATAAAAAAAATCTTGATCCAGCTTCAAAGATTCCCAGTTAAAAAGTTTATTTTTGCAAAATCTCAGATTTGTTCCATTTTTATTTACTGCTCGATGGGAATGGTTTTTGTTTATGCTGCGGATACATTAAAGCATACTTCCGGCGAATCAATTTCACTTGAGAACCCAAAAGGCATGCAAGATTTCTTACTAATGCGATCTCCAAGCAGAACCCAATGTAAACACAAAATCATATCAGAATGTTCGAGCATCAGATTCTCAGCAGACATGCCGGCGGCTGTCCCTGCAATACGTTATATGTTATACGTATGCAGCGAACCGGCTTGCATCTTTTGATTGGATTTAATCTATATCTGCGATTCTTAAACATACATATGTTTTATGCAGTCACATTTAGACTTAGCGGAGCCGTTATCAACACCAATCTCTAAATATTCCAATTGGAATTTAAACATAGTTCAACTGTTATCTGCGGCGGATCCAAATAAGCTCCGATAAGCTTCTTACGGAAAAATTTCTATAGATTTTGCATTATATTCTAATGTAGCGTAAAATGAAGAAATCACGATCATTGATCATCTCTCTGCTGAGTGAAACAATATTAAGCCAATGCGAACCAACATCAACCCCTTCTAATTGAATCTAATGTACGAGTATGTATCTAAAATACATATACATATTTAAAGCATTTAAAGATTGGGTATATTGAGCAGAGGCCAAACTAACCTCAAAACATAAACTAACATTTTACTGCTGCATTTAACCATTATTTTGAAGTCACAGTTGAGCTTTAAGGACAAGTGAAAAAAATTTGAATATTAAAACAAAAATTCATATTAAATCAGAAAGTACAACAGATATGACAAATAATATATCAAAAATATTTAACAAATATATGAGAGCTTAAAAGCAAGCGTATGCAAGGCCCATATAGGATGACTCTTATACCACAACGTACTTATACGTATACTCTTATACTGAAAGCAACTTGTCACTGAGCTCACTTTCAAATTTAAACTCAACTTATTAAGAATATAAGAATTAACAGATATCAATGCCAGTATACCCCATTTGGACTACTATACAGCGCATAGGAAATGTGTTAATTGATGCATATTTTGCTGATAGGCTGTTAAGTGCGAAATCAGAGTTACAGTGGGCCAGGCAGGTGATACCGGTGACACAGGTGTCAGGTGCCCAACGTGACTCAAAACAAATCAATTTGAAATTGATAAGGCAAAAAAATACTCAAGACCATAAATAAATATGATTAATTAAGGCAATTTTGGTGAGTGTGATAATAGGCCTACCTGCATTTCGTTGTAATTGGCAGTGAGTCTCCTAAATTTCAAACACTTGACTTTACTCGCTCACTTTTCACTTTTCCGCAAATTGTTTAAATGTTTCTTTAAAACTCTTTTCTTATTTTTTGTTCTCTTCGTTTGCGTTTTATATATGTTGGTGTTGTCTTTTTTTTTCAGATTTTATTTTTTTGTTTTTCTTTTTTATTTGGTTCTGGCTCGCTCGGCGATTGGAGATGTGACTCGATGGCTAGTGATGTGATATACTGTGCGGCGAAAGGTTGAGCATCGATGCTTTTATATAGCCGAAATCAACAAGTGCCGTTCGTCACACACAGCGACAGCAGATTGGCTACCATTTGTTATATTAACAGTTATAGTCGCCTGTCGCCTTCGCCTTCGCCTGCAGCATTCGTTGCTCTGTATGCGTTCGTGTGTGTTCGTGTGTGTGTATGTGCGTGCTTGAATTTCAATTTGAATTTGAGTTTCAGTTTGTATTGGCTATTGTATGTGTATGTATTTGCTTGCTAGCAGCTGCCTGCCTGCGTGAGTGTGTGTGTGTGGCTTTGTGGGCGTTTGCTTTTGCTGCTGCTGCTGCTATTCCTTCTATTGAAAAATCGAATGCAAATTTATTTGAATTATCATTTCTTTACACATTATTATTCGCATTCATTTGATTTGTTAGCTAACCTTAATACATCCATAATTTAAGTACAGTTGACACAACAGACACGCTGTTAGTTATATGTAGATCGCTTCACGTACTTAATTAACTCTATGTTGACCTATCCCTCCCTCTCTCCGTCTACATATCCTCACTTAACATTGTGCAACTTTCCAGCTGGAGCTCGCTGCTTTTTCCAGTCATCTTAGCTGCCGCAATCTGGTTGAGGCAGTTGCGATTGACGAAGCCTCGCTTCCTTCTCTCTCTCTCGCTCTCTCTCTCGCCCTCTCCCCTCTGCTCTTTGTGAGGATTTTAGAGCTTGGCGATTTGATTGGCCAGGAGTTAGACAGACGCACAGACGTCACCTGGCAGACCGGATCTACAATATTTGCATATGTATTTATGTATTTACATATGTATGTGTATGTGTATGTGCGTGTGCTGGTCGCAGCTGTGCTTTAATTGATTCTATGTGCTATAAATTGAAATGCACTCGACGAAACCGTTAAATTCAAATCGAGTTGCACTTTAAGCTGGTCCGTCGATTAGGGAGCAGAGTGGGGATTTGGTTGGGGGGTTGGCCAGAGGTAGGGGTTGGGTGTTGCTCGGTAGGCGACTTCTGACTGCTGGAACACAATAATTGCGACTTCTTCGTCTTCTTCTTCTCCGACTTTGGCAATCATCATAATGAGCTGCTAATCAAGGGACGCTGCCTGGCAACTGCGCAGCTCGCCTGTTGTGACCAACACACATGCACACGTAGATGTTTATATGAATGTGTGTGTGTGTGTGTGTGCATGCTAAGTTCACCCACGCATTCCGCTGTTTTGTTATGTTCTGTTTTTTTTTTTTTAGCCAATTTGGCCAACAATAGGGCTTCATTTGTATTTAGCCAGCTTGTCTCCAATTGATACCGCTGCTCGGTTACACCCACACATCGAGACAGGGGCGGCGATGCTCCCTACCCAATTATGTCACCAGCAGGGCGTAATTAAACACAACAACAGCAACAATTGCTTCTATTTTGCTTATTTCTGTTTGTTTGTGGCTCAAATTAATGTAGCTAATCACAACTGCACAACGCAGTTCGGGCTGCTAGCCAACACTGGTAATTGGACATTAGCCAACACTTCACAACTTCCCTTTGTACATCTTGTTGCCTTTACTTTGTCGCTGTGAAAACAAAAGTGAGTCATACTTTTAGGGGCCGCCATTGCTCTTCATCTATATTTAGACACATACATATACATGTACATATACATTTTTATACGTATATAAGTGGGTATATATAAATATGTATGTATGTATATATGCATGCATGTATATATGCGATCTATTCATTGCGTATAGCTTAAGAGCTGCAGCAGGCAATTGGTCACGCTTTCAACATCTTGAACCTTCTGAAGTTAAGCAAATATTTTTTTTTATGCTGGAACTAGTTCTTTAAAGAGCGAACTGTTGATTCGAGCAGGTTCCTTGTTAACTTTATGATGCGCCTGGTTCCGCAAGTAGTTTACTAACTAAATACATTTTCTTTTAGCTAGCCTCCATACGTTATAATGAATTATTCAGTTTTTGAGTTTGAGTTCCTGAATAATGGAATAGCCGACCACTAGGAATTTATGTAAAGTTGATTTAAGAGTATAATTTACTTACGAACTATTGAGCTAACTTAACCTATAAATGAACTATATGGCTCCTATCTCAAATACTTGCGCTCAAATTAGGTACATTAACCGTTTTCTTTTTCCAAGAATTTAATCAATCTAACATTTTAGTAGATTTAATAAAATTTCTTTCAAATACGCTGCTTAGCTGAAACATAGCTTTTCTCTTCCTATATAATGCAAAATTGAAGATGATGTAATCTGCACTATATATAGAAATACATATGAGCTATAGGTTCTTGCTGACAATAACCTAACCTTAAAAGTATGCTATCAAATTAAACTCTGATCCCTTGCCTTTAATATTGTAAATTATAGCTGAAAGTGAGTAACACTTTAATAAAATTATAGTTTCAATTACAAAATCAGTGCATCTATATTTACGCGCAGCACTGTATGCAAATTCTCGAAGAAGCTCTCAAAGCTTTCAAAGCTGAGTACGCATCAATAAATGCAACACGTGTAACAAAAGCTCGTTCAAGGTTAACAGTATACACTGGCCGAAAAAAAAGTGTGTAGCCCGGCGGGCCCACGCGATAAACATGCTTAATTAATATATCTGCTGCTGCCGCTGAAGTTCAAGCGTCACACAACCGTTTTGTGATGAAATGCAAGTTTATACTTGTTTTTTTCTTTATTTGTTTATTATGGTTTGAGTATTCTTTAGCCCAAATCCCGTTTGTAGCGCTCGTACTAACCACTTGCTTTGGCTGTTGCTGGCTAATCAAGCTTTGCTGTTTGCTTTCTTCTCTCTTCGCCATTCGTTAGTCGCCGTCAGTCGTCAATCGGACGTCGGTGCAGCAAGTACGTTCGCGCTGCTTGTGCTCAGCAATATCTAAAATAATTATTTATTTAATAGTCAACCAGTTATCGATCGTATGATCTAATATACACTTGAGTGTGCACACATCATGACCTCTTACACTTGCCTCCCGTTGGCCCTTAGGCAGGCCAAGCTCTTGGCCACACGCAGCTTCAGCGAGCGCCTGCTCCACCGGCATCTGTCGGCCAGTCAAACACTCAAAGACAAACACGAGTAAGATTTTTGTTTTTGCTTTTTGTGTTTCTTTCTTTTTTGCTCTGCCACACCTCCGGCAATGGAGGAGTAGCGCTAATAAGAAATGACAAACAGGTCCCAAGAGGATCGTAAAAGTTTCGCAGAGCCTTTGTGTATTGTTCTATATGCAAATTTATATCTGTATATGTATATGTATGTGTTATATACACATTATATATATAGAATACGTATCTATTAAACAAACACAATTAGCATGATTAAGGCGAGGGAATTAAGCACGTAGGCCAAAAAAAAGTTGATTTTAGCCCGCGGGCTTCAGAAGCTTTTATTTGTGTGTCGATGTATACTCTGTTGAAAATGTTGAATCGGGTATATACATATATATTTAGTGCAATGGTTAAAGCAATCATTAATGTTAACTTAACTATCTACAATCCTTTGCAGATGTCAAGTTTTGGTTGTTGGCGGCGGCGCTGGCGGCTGTGCTATGGCTGCGAAACTCTCCTCACGCCTGGGCAAGAACAAGGTGATCGTAGTGGAGCCCGCTGATGTACGTAAGCTCTAGTTGTGATCCCTCTGTCAAGTTAAGTAGAGGGACTTACTCTCTACTGTATGTTGCCCTCAGAAACATTATTACCAGCCGATGTTCACGCTAATTGGGGGTGGCATGAAGCGCCTGGAGCACTCCTACAAGTCCATGGCCGAGGTGCTGCCCAAGAAGGCAAAGTGGCTACAGGAAGCGGCCATAGAATTCGATCCGGAGAGTAATACGGTGAAGACATCCGGTAGAAATACTATCAAGTACGATATGTTGTTGATAGCTACAGGGCTCCAGCTAAACTACAATAAGGTAAGCTAAATTTGAGATTAATAATAAACTCCGCCGTAAGCTAACTACCTTCACTTTCAGATACCGGGACTCGAGGAGGCACTGGCCATACCCAATGGCAAAGTGTGCTCCATCTATTCGCCCAAGTACGTGGACAGGGTATTCGATTGCCTACGTAATATTCAAGATGGAGATGCCATCTTTACATTTCCCTCGTCGCCGGTCAAGTGCCCGGGAGCACCTCAAAAGATTGTCTACATCTCTGAACACTATTTCCGCAAGGTAAGCCGCGCATCTACAAATTTGTGTTGGCCTATCATCAGAAATTTCCTTTGCAGTTGGGCAAGCGGAATAATATAAATATCAAATATAATACGGCTCTGCCCGTGCTCTTCGGAGTTAAGCACTATGCAGATGCTCTCTGGCCAATTGTGAAGAAGCGCAACATTACGGTAAATACGCGCCGTAATCTAATTGAGGTTAAGCCCGGTCAAGACATTGCCGTGTTTGAAAATTTGGATAATCCCAGCGAGCGTTTCGAGGAGAAGGTGGGCAGAGGATGACTTACAGTTTGAGGAAGTACTTTAGATAGTAATACTATTCGTTTTCTGTAGTACTCCATGTTGCACGCCGTACCGCCAATGAGTGCGCCGGACGCTTTGACTCGCTGCAAGCAGCTGATCAACGAGGCTGGCTTTGTGGATGTGGATCAGTCCACACTGCAGCACAAAAAGTACCAGAACGTATTTGCTATAGGCGATTCATCCGGTTCACCTAACTCTAAGACTGCCGCTTCAGCAGGTGAGATAATGACTTTGGTTCCGCTACATTATAATTACAAACATTTTCCTTATCGCTTAGCTGCCCAGTCACCGGTTGTATTCCGTAATATGATCGCAGCTCTGGAGGGTAAGCCCCTTAAAGACGTCTATGATGGATATGCTTCGTGTCCCCTGGTTACGGGCTACAACAGCGTAATATTAGCCGAGTTCGATTATAGCCTGACGCCTTTGGAGACATTCCCTGTGGCCCAGAACAAGGAGCGCTATTCCATGTTTATTATGAAGAAAGATTTTATGCCGTTGCTGTATTGGAAGCTAATGTTAACGGGACACTGGAATGGACCCGCACTGATGCGTAATTTGTTGTCTGTATTTAAATTCGGCAAATAAGTGCCCTTCTCATAAAAAGCACACATCGAATGATCTACAAATGCAATAACTATTATTTTTTATAACTTTTATAATATATGCATTTATACATTGCAAATTCTACGAACAAAGTGTATTTGAATTTAACGTCAATATGAATTTCTGTTAATTTACAGTAGTCTGTTAATTAACATAATTGAAGCTAACTTGCACAGCTGTTGCCCAATCATGACTTTGAGAAAACTTTATATATATAGAGTTATTAGTGATAATAAGTTCAATTAGCATTGGTTTCATTAATGACAATTGTTAATTTCACCAGATTCGGTGGAATTATAGTATTTATAAAATATCGAATATACAGCTCTGCATATCTAACGCAAATTTGAGACACGTGAAGTTGGCAGCGAACGCAAGCCGCAGAAAACAAGAGGAAGAACAAGCGTGGCGTCTGTATGGGCGCAAGCATTTGAAGCTAACGAACCTAAAGTCTTTGCTGAGTAATAAATTTAAGCAAATATATCAATAGTGCAGCAGTATTCAAAGTACAAAACTCATCAAAATGAAAGCAATGTAAGTAGTGGAGAGGAATAAATGTCATAAGAGCTAATTGTGAATGATTTTGTCATGCAGGGCTCGTACGCCACTCCGCGTTCCCAAGACGCCCCGCCAAATGCAGGGTCAAATGCATACAGAGAAGAAACGGGACGTCTCTAATAAACAGCAGGATCCTGTAAATGTGTTTTGCCGAGTGCGTCCACTGCAATCCGAGGGCGATTTGACCTGCCTGCGAGTCAAGAATTCCACAACTATCGCGATTAACCCGCAGGATCAACTGCTGCAGCATCATCAGAAGCAACAAAACGGCGCCCAGCGCGAGGTGCAGTACATTTTCAAGCATGTCTTTCAGCCAGATGCCACTCAACAGGAGGTGTTCGCGGCCGTTGCTCAGCCGCTTGTCGAGAACCTGGTGCGCGGCAGGAATAGTTTGCTCTTCACCTATGGTGTAACGGGCAGTGGAAAGACCTACACAATGACTGGAAACGCTCGGCATCGTGGTATAATGCCTCGATGCCTGGATCTGCTGTTTCGCACCATCTCTGACTATCAGGCAAAAAAGTTTGTGTTCAAGCCGGATCGGTTGAATGGTTTTGAGATACTCTCGGAAGAGGATGCGCTGCTCGAGCGGCAGCAGGAGATGAATCAACGGTTTGCAGGTGCCGGGCGATTTGCCTTTCGACGCAAGGACTCGGACCCGGAGATCGCATCACAGGCCTCGGTAGAGCCATCGCCGCTGACCGTGCTCGATGAGGACAACATGTACTCAGTATTCATTACCTATGTGGAGATGTACAACAATAGCGTATACGATCTGCTCGAGGATTCCGGCGTGCAGAAGTAATGTGCCATAGAAAATATAAATATGGACTTGCAGCTTATCCTCTCTCCCTTTAATCTAGATCATTGCAGTGCAAAATCATACGGGAGGATGCGAATCACCAGATGTTCGTGCATGGCGTTACCGAAGTGGAGGTCAAGACCGTGGAGGATGCCCTCGAGGTCTTCCATATGGGCCAGAAGCGCAAGCGCATGGGCAACACAATCCTAAATGCAGAGTCCAGTCGCAGTCACTCCGTATTCAATATACGACTTGTCCAAGCGCCAACCGATTGCCAGGGCGAGCGCGTGATTCAGGATAAGCAGACGATCACAGTTAGCCAGCTGTCGCTTGTAGATTTGGCTGGCAGTGAACGGTCCTCCCGCACCAAGAACACGGGCGTACGTCTCCGTGAAGCGGGCAACATTAACAACTCGTTGATGACGCTACGCACTTGTCTCGAGTATCTGCGCGAGAATCAACAGCTGCCCCCAAATGTGCCCCCCAAAAAGGTACCATATCGCGACTCGAAGATCACGCACATGTTCAAGAACTACTTTGATGGCGAAGGCCAGGTGTCCATGATCGTGTGCATCAATCCGCGCATCGAGGACTACGATGAGAACATGGTAAATGGCTTTTAACTGCCTGTTATCTGTTATCCTTAACTCTATCTTCATCCACAGCAAGTCATGAAGTTTGCGGAGATGACTCAAGAGGTGCAAATAGCCCGCGCCACGCCCATGAAGCCAGACTTGGGTCTTACGCCCGGTCGCCGCAAGGCCAACAAACTGTTCAAGATTGCCGTTAACAATCTGAACGAGCTGGGAATACCCGAGGCCAAGCAGCTGGAGGTAGATGTGGGTCTGGTTTACAGCTTGGGTGCCGACTTTCCACACTATCAAATGGATAGTCCGGAGGCTGCGTGCAAGATACAGGAGCTAATGGAGTATCTGGAGCAGCGGATCGATAAGCGACGCAAACTGCGCGCCAACATGGATGTCAAGTGTAGGGTTGAGATTTTCCTTTCTCTCGTATCAACCATTCTTCATAAATTCCCATTTTCCCGTTAGGTGACAACTTCCGTCAGATGCTCATGAATCTCGATCGTGACAATTTGCAGTTGCGGACGGAGCTGGCCTCCATGAAGGCCGTCTACAAGCAGGAACGCGAACGGAGCGCCGCCCTGGAGAACAAGGTGCGCATACACGAGAGCTCCATTGATGTGCTGAACAATACGCTGAGCAAACGGGACCGGCAAATCCAGGAACTCAGCGAGAAGCTGAGCGAACAGGAGCAACTGCTCACGCAGAAGGAGCAGGAGAAAGAGAAACAGAAAAAGAAGTACAATTCCAAGCTGGCCGTTGAATCGGATAAGAATAAACGCGAATTCGATATGAAGCTGCGTGAGCAACGCGCCAAAATGCAGGAGCGCATGCGCATCAAGGACGAGAAGTTGCGCCTGGTGTCCAATATACTACAGTCCGAGGATGTGCCCAGCTTGCCGCGTTCCCAGAGCTCAGAGAATCTGCTGAACGACAAGGATCGCGGTGGCTTCACCACGCGCACAGAATCCACAGCAGCACCGACGACACGCACGGACCTCTACTGTACTCCGAGACATGTAAGAGTATAGTGAGGGGACAACAATGACTGAGTTCCAACTGATTTAACTTAATCATTTTTGTAGGGCTTGGCAGCTGCCAACAACAGGCACCGCAGATCCCGTTCCGCCGGCGATAAATGGCTAGAGCATCGTGCCGCCAATCCTGTGCCGCTAGGTACGATTATGCAGCCGTATCTGAAGAATCGCAAATCAGTTACGAAGCTAACCGACATGAAGGAGCTAACCGGCCATGGAGCGAACAAATATTGCCTTGTCTCCCAGGAGGCGGACACGGATGGCGATGTGGAGACGAAACTGTACAAGGGCAACGTAATACCCACTTGTGGCGGCGGTGCTCAAGTGGTGTTCGATGACGTCGAGTGCCTCAAACAGAAGTCACCCGTCCATTCGCCTACACGCAAACGGCCCAGCAACGGCAATTTGTCGTCCTCGGCATTTGGTGGCCCGTTGCCGACGAGCACCACTGGCCTGACATCCATGCAGGATGTGGCCTCGCGCTGCAATCTGGGCATCGAAGGGCACAGCAGCAAGAAGTCCAAGATGTGAACGATATACTCTTACATACCCGTATTACCAGAACATTATATCAGATGTTTTGCTTTCCAGTTGATTATGTATTATACTCAGTCTCGATTTATAAGTTGAATCATCAATGAAGTGATTTGTTTTAAGTTTACGAACACAATTAAAGAAGTCAATTATAGACTTGGTAACTTTATTTGGGGGCTGCCTAACGATAAAACCGATTCAAGCGAAAACGAATGTCAGGCCTCATTTACAGTTGGTTATAGAAGCTCCAATAAACTGAATGGAAAGTTTATAAAACAATAAACAATTTTAAGAATTTCTGCATTTATTGTTGCGATTATTTTTGCCATAAATTGTTTCATAAATTATTGTTTAGATTAATCGGCGTGTACATAGCTAATACCCCATTCACCCCCCACCCAAATAACGGTATAAATATATCGTATACCGCATGTCGAATGATCGTATTTTTGGCCGTTATCGTTGCATTTGGAAATCAAAAACTTTGGATAGAAAACAAAAATAAAATCACATGCACATGCATTTATGTTGTTTTTTGTTTTTGTTTTTATTTAACTCTTGGTTTAATTATTCCTGCGTTTATTCAGATTTATGCTTAAATTTGTAGATTAATTTCAATTACTAATAAATCAGTCTATAATTAAAATATATGTTCGCTTAATGCTTTTGTATTCATGTGTTTGTGTGTGTGAGTGAGTGAGTGTGTTTGTGTTAGTATGTGTATGTGTATGTGAGTGTGTGTGTGAGCTGCCCCCTCCTCATACGAATCGAGTACCACGGAATACTTAAATTTCTATATACGAGTCTAGCCCATCTCTTAAGCAGGCAACACAGAATTTGAAACTTTTCAAAATTTTCGTACAATTTAGCATATACTAACATACAATTTACATTTAAATGGAACTACTACACACGGGAAGCCTTTTAACAAAATTACATTTAAAATCAAGTACATACGTATTCATGTGTGTAAACAAAACAGATCGAACGAAACCACAAAATGTTAATATATATAGAGAGGGAGAGAAACAGAAACAACTCAATAATGGGTCTCCAAAATAATCTAACGGCAATATTAACATTATAGACATCATAATTAATCAATCAATTAAACAATTTACAATTTTAATCAATATAAAGCTGTTTTTTCATAAAACTTTTCTTTTCGGTTCATTCGATACGGAACAAAATTATGTATGTAGGTATATGCATAATACGTATATAGTAGTATGTTTGTAAACATTCGACTTGCTATGAGATATATAATATATATATATATATATGATCATGTTTTTTTTTTTTGATGTACGTAATTCATAATCAATAAGAACTAAGAAGCAAAAATTATTCTATTTTGGTGGAAAACAAATTTTGGCTATATAAAAGCAACGCATTTGAAACAAATGATAACATTGAAAACGTCTTTACACTCGCACTCACAACTCCCAAATGTGTGTGTGTTTTGTATGTGAACGTGTGTAGGCATGTGTATGTGTATATATAAATATATATATATGTATATATATGTATGTGTGTGTGTGAGCAGCTGCATTTGTTGGCAAGGCAAGCGACGATAACGTTTCGATTATGCATGACAGATAGACGAGTCATCTATATAAGTGTGTTGGTGTGTGTGTTAGTTGAGTGTGGGTGTGTGTATGTGTGTGTGTGATATCGCCTCCGGCTGGCTCGCTCCCATAACGAGCTAAAGCATTGTAGCGGCTCTCGCGTTTATCATAACATAGAGTAGCGTGCGCCTTATTTTGCACACACAGTTTGCAAATTGAACTGAACTGAACTCGAGCTGAAACTGGAACTGGAACTGTTCCTATGAACACTTGACACAAGCGCCCTCCACATCAAAGTCCAGTACCATTAGCTTTGTCTCCTCCGTACCATTGCGTGAACCCACGGCGCAAATCAACTTTGTATCGTTCGCCCTGTGAATAATAGAAGGTTGAAATATAAATAAACAGTTATGCTTGATCTATGCTTATTTATCAATGTACACCTGGCAGTCAAACGGGATCTTATATCACTATCAATCTTTTTGAGATGCAGCCCGGTCTATACATTCCTAGCTCTCTCTATTTACAAGTCATATGCAGAGACTCGTTAGCTAACATTAATTTATAGTTAATTAGCTACCTGATGCGCCAGACCACTCCACCGGAGCCGCCCGAATCCAAAGCAACCAAATTGCGTATAAAATCGCCCGTTTTGACGTCCCACAACTTGACGGTGCCATCATCGGAGCTGGTGACCACAAAGCGTGAATTGAACTGCAGGCAGGTGACCGCTGACTGATGCTTATTGGGTCCTAAAGCAACAAAAATAACAGTTAATAAATGCCCAAGATCATCGTTCAGTTAATCAAGTAAAATCAAATTACCCGATAGCGTTTGCAGGCATTGTCCTGTTGTAATGTCCCACACCTTGACCGTGGAGTCGGCATTGCCAGAGACGAGTATATTTTGTCGCAACTCCATGCCGGAGGTGAGACTCTGATGGCCCATTAGAGTATGCTTGCAATTGCCAGTCTCCACGTCCCAGACACGTATCGAGGTATCCAGTGACCCAGAGACGACATGAAGACCATCAAACTGCACAAAATAGGAATTCGAATTGGTTAGGCTGCAGAGGAGCTTGATGATTAGTTGACTCTACCTGCAAGGAGTAGACACGATTGGTGTGACCCTGCAGCGTGTGTAGGCACTCCTGTCGCTCTGGATGCCAGATTTTGACCATATAGTCGTAGGCGCCCGACACAATCAGCTTGCCATCATATTGCACACACCGTACCGCAGCCAAGTGGCCAACCAACACATGCAGACACGTGCCCAACTCAATGTCCCACACCCGCAGCGTTGCATCTCGTGAGCCGCTGACCACCCTAGAGGAAGATGAAAGGTAAGTCTGGTGCTGCACAGCCAGCTCTGCAAGAATCACTTACTTATTGCCATGCAAATGCATGCAGCGCACGGTTGAGGTGTGTCCCTGGAGCGTGTGCACACAGCTGCCGCTCTCCATGTCCCACACCTTGAGCGTGCGATCCGTGCTGCCCGATATGATGATATTGCCAGACATTTGTGAGGACCAAACGCCGCCAGTATGCCCCACCAAGGTGCGCAGACACTAGAGAAGGAAAGAAGTTGATAGAGATTGGAGATGAGACTAGACAATGACTCGACCAAGGTTCTATATTGACTGCTGTCTTACCTTGCCGCTGACTGCAGACCAGACCTTGAGCGTATTGTCATCGGAGCCGGATACAATGCGATTGCCGGAGAACTGAAGGCATGTGATCACATGATCGTCATGGCCCTTGAGCACCTTCGGCTTGCGCACTGGCCGCGACCGCCAATTCATCTCGATGATGTGCTGTCGCATGTACGCCGCCTTCCATGGCGATGCGATTGGTGGCATGTTGCCATCTCGTCCTCGTTTGGGGCGATCGCTGCGTGTCTCGGTGAGGATCTGTGCCTTCCGGCACTTCTCCTTCCACAGCAGATTGTCGTCGCAGAGGAAACGCCAACTGCGGCAAGTTTGTGCGGCGCGCAACAAATCCTTCGGCTCCAGATATGAGAGCACAAACAGCGCCAGTTCCCGTGGGAGCAATGAGATGAAGTCACGCTGGAATTGTGGCTCGATCACCTTCATCATGTGCCGCACCTGTGAGGGATCGCAATGGTCGATCAGACGATCCAAGGCCAGCAGACGTTCGGCATGGGACCAGCGCTGAAATTGTGCCAGCCAATGCTGCAGCTCGGGTGGCGGATTATCGCGCGTGGGCATCAGAGCGCGCGGCGTACGCCTACCCAATGCGGGTGAGCAACCACCCAGTGACGAGGCGGAAATGCCGGTTGGCGTCATCGTTAGCGTCATCATGGCAGCGGTGCCTAGGGGCTGCGTCGAGGAGCGTGGGGTAGAGGCAAAATCATAAGCAATGCGCTTACGGCTGTTATCGCCGGATCCCGAATTGCTCCCACCACCGCCCGCACCGCCACCAGCACCCGCACCACTACCAGCGCCGCCACTGCCCGTTATGCTCATCGAGTAGTCACCATCCAGCAGACGACTCTCGTTGTATTTACGCTTGCGCTGCTGCTGTTGCTGCTGCTGCTCGATTGGCGGCATTGCAATGGCTTCTTCATGATAGCTATCCATGGCATCCATGTCGAGTGTCTCGCTCAGGCTGGCATCACTGCCGCTGCGACTGCTGGCCAATATGCTGTTTTGGCAAGTGCATATCTCTTCCAGGTCCGAGCAATTGTTCTCCTCGTCGCAATTGCCCCACGGCTCTTCGGCATTAAAATCTCCAGGTTCAACAACTCCGCCGCCACCGCCGCCGCCACCGCCTATACCACCGCCTCCATCAGCATTGCCTGAATTTTCCTCAACAACAATGTCAAGCACAATGCCATCATTGGAGTTATTGCGTGCGGCGTCCACACGTCGGCGACTGCGATTGCCATTGACATTCGCAGCTCCTCCAGCCGCCAGGCCACTGCGTACAAGAAAACGCTCCTGGGTTTGGGCACTGGCATTCACCTGCCTTGTGACCTTTGCTGGGGCTGCCGCTGTATAATGACAGCGACCAGACGCCCAAGTCGCCGTTGAAGTGGCTGACGTCGAGGGCTGTGCATCCACGTCCAGAAAGACGACATTGCTGCTGCCGCAAGGTAACACGCTGGTGCGACTGCAGCCGCTGGTATCCTGGCTGCTTGTCTGGGAGCCCACCGAGCTGAACGATGGCATGGCTACATCTTTGCCCGTATGCTGGCAGCTCGCCGACAGATTGATGTCGTTCGAGTTGGTGTTCGTGTAGACGTCTGTGCGATTGTTGCTTGTGGAAGTGGAAGCGTTGCTGCTCCCGTTGGGCTTCACAATAACCACGATGGGCAGCTTGGAATTGTTGCTGTTGGTGCTGTTGCTGCTGCTGGAGCCGCAGCTGGAGATGGAACTCGAACTGTGCTGTGGACAGGCATTACTGTTGGCATTGGCCAGCGTCGAGCCCAGGTTGAGTTTGGCAGTGGACTTGCTCAGTCGGCTGTTTGTATACTTGCGACTGCTCGTGGGCGTCGTCGATAGATCCTTGTAGGTGCACTACGGAGGGGGTAAGAAAGGGAGCTTTAATATATATAGCCTCTGCAATACAATTAATGATCCTTACCTTGCTATCCGAGGAGAAGGCGCGTGCCTGGCTACTGCTGGGCCAATCATCGCCAGCCACTCCAGCCCCGCCGCCAGCGCCCACTGCTGCTCCTGCGCGATTGATCAGACTTAGATTGAGGCGATTCTTGCTTACCAGCGAATTAGTGCCGAGTATGATGCCGCCGGTCAGACGCTGCTCGGTCTCAAAGTCGCGACGTTCAATGCGATCCATGGACTCAATATCCGCCTTGGTCGGGCTGTTGCTGTTGTTGGTGCTGTTTGTTGTCGTTGCTGCATTGGCAGCCGATGCCTCGGCGCTGGCCGTGAGGCTCATCTGCTTAAGCCGCACAGACATTTGACGATCGTGCAACGAACTAGTTGCCACATCGACTCCCTGTCCCTGCGCTTGCCCTGGCTCAGACTTAGCTCCTCCTCTTGGTGCATTGCCCTGCAGCTGTTGCTGCTGCTCTTCCGCCTCGAATTCATCGCTGAGCCGCTTCGGTTTTCCCGCCAGCAGCTCCGACTGCGCAGCACTGCCGCCAACTATGGCACCGCCGACATGAGTATGTGATTGCTGTGGCTCTTCGACGACAGGTGTTTCCAGAAATATTTTCGAACCATCGGCTGTCGTGATGATGCCATCAGCAGCAGTGGCAGCAGCAGTACCATCCACTTGTGATGTATTCGGGCAGGAGCGCACCGCAGCATCCTCATCCTCATCATCATCGTCATCCTCATCGACGATTTCCTCCTCGTCGAAATCGTCGTCATCGTTTATAAGGCATACAACGGGCGGCTCGTCGTTAACATTAAAGAAAGCATTATTCATCGGGCTGTTGTGCTCCTCCTCCTCTTCCTCCTCGGATGGAGCGTCACGGCTCATGCGCTCGTTCTCATTGCCATTGAGCGTGTCTGTCGAGGAGCTATCGTCTACGGGCACAACAACAACGACGCCCATTGTCTCAGCGCCGGCACCGGCTCCCGTGCTATTGGGCAGTGAATTGGAAGAGCTTATCTCGTATGTTTCCAGCACGCCGGTGGTCTCGGTACTGGACTCATCATCGAGCACGACGGCAAAGCCATGTTGCGAATTCGAAGAGACACAGTCCTCAACGTCCGGCTCCCTCAGATTGGACATAGATTCAGTTACTGTTCCGTCTACCGCTTGGCTAGTGCTCGCCTTTGGCTGTGATGCTTGAGGTGTTGGTGGTTTTAAATCGATGCTGTAGCTGCTATTGCTACTGCTGCTGCTGCTGCTTCGGCGGCTCTGCTCCTGCTGAGCGTCGTCCTCGGCACCTGAACAATTACTGCTAGCAGCTGAACATCCTTTTTCCATAATACTTTCCACAACGTGCAGGTAAAGTCAATCTCTCTTCGTGGACTGCAGCTTTGCTCGCCTGCAAAAGGTTATCGAAAATAAAACAAAATGGTTGAGCATCACTTAAATAATTTCTATTTCAACTGAAATGCTTTTGATATGAAAAGATCTTAAGAGCAACGCAGTTTTTTGATTTCGAGCTCTAGCACTGTAAACGATACCTGATGGGACCTTTACCTAGATTGTCTACAAATTTATAAATCCCAAGTATGTAAATCTAAATAATAAAGTTTGTATTTTTTAGATAGAGTAGCAATTTTTTTGTGTAGAATAGTTTAGAGTTGAAAAATGTCAGAAACTTTAATATTTAATAGAAAACATATGCCTTAGCGTGTATGAAAACAAATACGTGCTCAAGCGTCTATTATCATTATAATCCTTTCAAGCTATGCAATGTTCTTTTCTGTGGCGAATCCTCGAAAATAAACTACTCTAAAACCGAGTTCAAGAAAAATATTCAATTGATTCTATAAGGGTATCCTCTAGGCGCACATAAATGATTAATCTTCAACTTACACGAATTAATTAACTATCCTTTATTTTTTTACTTAGCCAAAATATATAAAATCCGCTAGAAGGAAGAAGCAGCCGCCTTGGAGCTACGACAGCGACGCTCTGTAAAAAATTCCCACGCAACGCGAAGCAAACACGACGAAAGAGGCAAGCGGCAAAGTAATAAGCACGATGAGAGGAGATCGTGTGCAGTCACTTTTCTGTCTATCTGTCTGTCTTTTGTCCCTCTCTCGCTCTCGCTCTCACTCTCTGTCTCTCTACCACATTCGCATGATGATGAGACTCTGAGAATTGCAAAAAAAAATCCAAAATCGAAAGAAAAGGAAAAGCAGTGGGAAAAATGTTTGTAAAGCTGCAGCAGCAGCAGCAGCAACAACAACAACAAAACAGCCGCCACAGCAGCCGTTGTCGTATTTCTTAGCAATCAAAAACTGGCAAAGGAAATCACAAAAGTGCATCGGCGGAAGAAGCTAAAACGGCGCGAAGTAGAATGGGCAAAGAAGATGAAACGGGTATTACAACAAACATACAAACACATTCCCATACTCAAACACATACACACACACAGAGATCAGTAGCCCAGGCAGAAAAGGTAAAGGCATGCGATGACAAGAGCAAAAGTAACGGACGGAAGAAGAAGCAATAAAGATACACACCAACAACAGCAGCAACTACAACAACGATAGCGTACACCTTGCAATTTAAGCCGCTATCTGTTTGCGCTGCTCTCTGCTCTCTCGCTCCCTCTCTTGCACATCAAAGTCATCAGCATCGACTGTCATGCTCAGGCGTCTCCCTCTCTCGCTCGTACGCGCACAGCATCAATTTAACGCATACACTCACACTTAGGCACGCACACGCGTACAGACAGCAAAAAAGGGATCAGTGCATTTGCAGCAGTCAAACAACAAAGAGCGATCGCATAGGAATTTTCTCCTCGCGCGCACACACACATGGGCACCCAAACAGACACGCACACGCAAACACGTGTGTGTGTGTGTGTGTGTAAATCCTGTGTTGCATCACTCGTAAAAGAGATCAGATGTGCAAGAGAATGTCGGGAACCCTCCCCTTCTCAGAAATGTTGCTATTGAGCGACCTCCTCTGAAGGTTTAAAGGGTCTTCGTTTACGTTTTGCTTCATTTTGAGTACGCTTTCACACGGCATTCGTGTTACCTGTGCTGCGACCACAGGACTAAAGCGAGAATGAATGCCCCGAACCTTGTCCATCCATTAATGTCGTCTTCATTTTTTTCTTTTTCTTTCTTTCTGTTCATTTATCTACGTCACACAGCAAATGGCCATGGGCATGGGGGAAAATAGATATAGAAATGAAAATTCTTAAAAGTTAGTAAACTAACTAACTAAATTGTACTGGCCCTAACCCCACTTTTCTGCACCTGCACCGAGCGAGAGCCAGCCCCATAATTCGTGGAGCAAGCAACAAAAGAAAAAAATGTGAACATTGTTGTACACACACACATACAGTGAAGCATACGAAAGCGACTACGTCGGATGTCGTATATGCATACACACACAGCCACACGCTCAAGTACGCACACATACAGAACAAATGTCACGACATGCATAAGGAAAAGGAGTTTACTTTACCCCTAGATAGCGCTATTCTGCACTTTGAACAATACAATTCATATAGATGATGCACACATGAGGTTTCCAATTGCAGTTGAGCTTAATTGTTTAACTATTTCATCCGTTTTACACTTTTTGCGTTGAGTTCACGCACACACACACACACTTGCCCATCCACAAGAAGCATTTGCCACCGAGCACACACGTTTAATTTAATTTACCACGTACGTTTTTCTGCCGTTTTCTCTACTGCGCTATCATTAGCATACAGTATTACTATTATGGCTAACCGTATTAGTATTATTCTGACAAACAAAAACAAAAATTCTTAAATTCAGACAGAAAAATAACTAAATGACTTGAGCTGCGCTGCCACTGTATGTTAGCAGCACCGAAGTATCGAGACAAAGCATCGATACGCTGCGCGCAGCATCAAGTATCGATATGTAGCTGTAGTACAACGAACCGATACCACTGAGTAATGCTATTCGATAATATTTTATTTACTTATCATTTTGATTTCGTTTTTAATAAAAATTCATTCAATATGAAAATTAGATTTTAACATATATTGTAAGAAAAGCCAATTAGAGGTCTATGCATTACAATGAGTTGAAGATATCTTTAAAGAGGAAATAGGCATCAGATGCACATTGAAAGGCACAGCCGCCCGCAATCGATTGTTTGTATTTAAATCAAACCAACTGAGCCATTAATATAAGTTGAGCTGCCGCAATGGACACAACGGCGCCGTCTGAGGGTCTTGGCGAGGTTGTCTCTCATTACCTGGACAAGGGGATAGTACTTATTATAGCTGATCTTCTTAGTTTGATTACGGTGTCATCATGTCTGGTCATCAAGGTGCCACAAATAAATACGATACGAGAAAACAAATCGTCAAAAGGTAGGACTACACCCACTCAACTGTTACGCCTACACATTAACTGTATATTCACACGATTCCAGGCATCAGTGTCTTTGGCTTGTGCCTGGAACTGTTCAGCTATACCGTTATGATGTCCTACAATTACACGTCAGGCTATGACTTCTTATCCTATATGGAGTATCCTGTGTTGCTGCTGCAGGAATATGTGCTGATCTATTATGTCTTCAAATATCAGGATATGCTAGGCAAACGAACACAAGTCTTTGCCATATTCTATACAATCATCGCAACACTTATCTATTTGAAACTCTTTCCAATTATCATCCTAACGTTTCTGGTGGTGAGTAACCCAACCAACAATGGCTCATATATGTATGTATATAGCTAATACATATGTGTGCACAGAACAGCAGCGATATTGATTAGAACCTTCCGTAAAGATAACAGCGTACTCTACAAACTCGTTTTCCCTTTTTTTTTAATTTGTTAAACTAATGATGTGCTGCTGAATAATTATTTTAGAGAACCTGTTTTGTTTTTATTTGTTTTGATTGCCTTCGGAGCTGAGCATAATAAGATGTTCTTAACTGAATCATTGGCGAAGGTCATTTGTGTTTTGCTCTATAATATTTGTCTTGCTTCTATTTATATACAGACATAAACGGTCGCAGACCAATTGTTTTAAGAGCTATTTGCACTGCCAGATGTGTCTCAAAAGTACAGTATATAATGCCTACATCGAACAAATGCTGTTGCTGATAATAGTTTACTGAGCTGATTATAGACAGAATTAAAAATATAAACAAATTATATACTACAATATAGCCTTTATAATCAACTTATGAAAACCTTGAAAACTGGATTTCGTAATCTTTCCAGTGATCTACATTTTCGGTAATTGACCTGGGCAGGTTTTACATTCAAATGAAAACATTTTAGGATGAGCGGAGAATCTGAATTCTCTAAATACAGTTTACATCTGTCAATTAATCCCTTATTTAGTCACTCACTCTGATTCCTTATATTCTTCTCAATTTCATTTCCCCAATGTTAATTTCCAATGCTATGTTTAATCTTCTGCAGCCTTTCTGTACGCCAATTGGAGCAACGAGCAAAGTGCTCCAACTGCTCGCTATATTGCGTACAAAAGATGCCAGCTCCGTTAGCCGGACGACATGGGCGCTGTCCGCCTTCACCAATATGAGTTAGTATATGAATACTTATATAAAGCGCTTTACTGAAACTAATCCATATTTAACACTATTTGCAGCTCGCATATACACAGTCTACGTGCAGTCGCATGATTTGATGCTGCTATCTAATTTCCTGATATCCACTTTCCTTAGTCTCAGCGTGTTTGTCGCCGCCTGCATTTATAAGAAGAAAACGAAGACGGCTTAAAACGGGCTAAACTACTATTTTAAAGATAAATCTAATCAAGCGAATACTCAATAGACACGGACTTACAGTTGTTGACAAAGTTTTTACTAATAAAATTCAAATCTCATTGGCATTTTTTTTTTCAGTTCATCTTTAGTTGATTCTAGCTGTCCGCATAGTACGCCACGGCCAGTGCGCTCAGTACGACCAGAAAGGATAATGCATAAATGCTCAAGCGTTGCCAGTTGATGTTAGTCTTGGTGGGCTCAACATCCAAAGTCTTCCGCTCCTTGTGCTTGCGCTTGCCGAACTTTTGCTCATACAGCTCGACTTCCAGTCTATTCCGTTCCTGTTCTTGCTGCAATTTGAGCTGCTGCTGTTGTTGCTCTGAGGCCTGGGCCCTGGAGCGCTCCGCCAGACAGAAGGCATCGCAATCGAGCGACGTTTGACCCGCACGATGTTTGTCGCAGGCGATTTCCTGTTTTAGGCGCTTGCACTTGCAATAAATGCGTAATTTTTTGCGACATAGCTCCGGATTGGGACAGGGGCCGGGATGACATATGGTCATGCAGCGGTGGCCACAATCGAACTAAGTGAACAAGATTTAACAGTTATATATAGATATAAAATATTCTCCGAATTTGTACGCACATTTTTTAGACAACGATTGCCACAGCTGTTGAGCCTCTGGCGTCGCTCCAGCGTCTCCTGCTGACTGCCTTCCTCATTAAAGTACTCGCTGCACTTGTAGATGACCTGATTGAGGCCACAGTAGCATTTGTTTTTGATGACAAATGCGCACGGAGCACAAGGTGGCGGATGACAACCTTTGTTGCAGGCATGAGTGCAGCCAGGAGGACGAGGAATAGTACATCCCTGTTCACAATTCGCACAGCCTGCTTGCTGGTGCATATCCTCCGGCTCAGGCACTGCATGGCAGACCCGATCGCATCGATGATTGCCACACTTGAGCTGGCGTGCGCACTTACGCTGGCAGGATGTGGGCTTGGAGTTCCAGCAAGGCCAAGTGGCCAACTCGTGGCCGCCAATGCAGCGCACGATGACGCCCTCTTCGCAGCGCGGATGCGGAAGAGCGCGGTACTCATACTGCAAGAATTACGTATTACATATGGATTGTAAGGCTTTAGTCGTTTGGGGCTTACTTTGTGCTGCTTTCCATGAGTTGTCTGATCTGGTCGAGGCACACGCTGAGCTGCATGACAGCGCGCCTTGCAGATGTGTCCACAGCCGCTGGAATCATTGATCAAGCCACAGGGCTGCACGCAGGGCGGGCATTCGCCCTTGTGACAACGATGCTTGATGGCATGATGACACTTGGGCGTAATGCTAAGGAGTAGAGCAGTACTTAATACATGTTATATTTCTTAGTAAAGAGCTAAGCAACCAACCGGCATAGCTCCTGACACACAATACGAGCGTTCTTCTCGCGGCCGCAGGGCACGCTTCGTCTCGTCTTGCCGCAGCGACAATTCACTTGCGATTCCAGCTTGCACGGATAACAGGGTCCGTTGTGGCACACGGACTGGCATTTATGTTTATTGCAACTCAACTGCTTGCCGCAGATCTTCTCGCAGGGCGGGCATTGATCCCCACAGCACTGAAAACAAACAGGATACATCAGTCGAGCTTGGATAAACTCACGCGTATGTTATGTACCTTGCGATTGCAAGCATGTTTGCCACAATCTCTCATCTGCTTGCATTTGGTTTCGCAGTTGAACTCCTTGGAGCAGGGCATCTCCTTCTCATGCAAGCCGCAGCGGCATTTCTTCTTCGTGACTACTAGACACTATAACAATAGAGTTTACAGAGATTATCGAGCTGCATTACTTGCTTGAATAACTAAATAGTTTACCAAGTTGCAAGCACCGCGATGACAGCGCTGTGCGCAATAATGCTTGCCACAGGACAAGAGCTTCTGGCAAGTGTCTCCGCATGTCTCCTGTGGCTCGTTGCAGCCTCCACTTTTGATCTGCATAAATCATAACAATTAATATTTATATATAGTTGAACAGCTATTGTGCTTACGCTTTTGCCACAGGGACAGCTGCGCACGCCAAACGGGCACTCGGCGCCTTCACAGGATCCTGAATGGCATACTTTCTCACAGGTATGAATGCCACAGGCAAAGAGAGCGCCACAGACCTAGATAAGGAGAAATCAATTTTATAAGTGAAGCTATTTATAGATCTCAACCTGCTTACATTGCTGCACTTCCATTTGGGATCGGCACAGTTCACGACTTTCTGCTCACGTTTGCATTCACAGGGCTGTGAGCTCTTACTGCTGCATGGCGGACACTGACCAGGCCTATGACAGCGCTGATTGCATTTATGCATGCCACATGACAAAAGCAATTGACACTGAAAATAAGGATTTCATAAAAGAATATAAAAGGTTTCATATAGGAGGAGCCTTAACACATTCTACATACCTTTTGATCGCATTGCCAGTTCTTGTCGATGCACCGTACGCTTCGCATTGCCGCCTTTCCACAGAGGCAAGAATTGTTAGCTAGTTGGGCACAGGGTGGACATGGACCCGGATGACACAGCAATTTGCAATCGTGGCCACATTTTGGCTGCAACAGCTTGCCACAAATCTCGCCACAGGAGTGGGGTACAAGAAAGGGTTGCGGCTGCGGGTTCACCTCCTTTCCACAAAAACATTCATATTGTGTTGGTCGATCGGCCGGTTGGTAATCTCTACGACACTGTGGACAGCACCAGTGAAGAGATTTTGTACGTTTAGGCGGCACAAACTCGCCCAGATGATTATAATATCCCTGATTGCCATTGTTCTGCTGCTGCTCCGCCTTTACCTTCATTTGCATGACGCTGTCGTTGGCCCAGCGCTGTATGCAATTGAGATGGAAGAAGCAATAGCAGCTCTTGCATGACCAAATGGACTCCACGCGTCGAATGCTGCCAATACAAATTAGACACGTAGCAGCGCCCGAGTGCAAAGTGTTCTCCAGAAATGTGGCGGTGCGGTTTACATTGTTGTCATTCGCTGAACTCACTGGAGCCTTGTAATGTTTATACAAAAGATCTAAAATAGACAAAGCTTCAAATGGTTGGACACGTCATAAGCCTTCGCTTATTGTTTACCAAGAATATGCTTTTCATCCAATTCTCCTTCATCCTCGGAGCTGGAGGCGTAGGCATTCACCAATTTTTGTGCAGCTGCCAAGTTTTTGGCTTGCGCTTTGCTAAACTTTTCCATCTTGACCGGCTAAAAAATTGCGCTGAATTCCCAATTCGACTGCTCCGAATTGAAACAACAAATGTCTTGATGCAATCGAACTGGAGCAGAATGAAGTGAACTTTCAAATCAGTTCTTTGGCCTACTATAATTCATTACACAGCACTAAGCAACACCACTACACCAAAAACAACACTTATCACAGAAGCTCTTGCTTCTTTAACTTAGCACAACTAAAATATGAATTGTAAATAAAAATAGTTTGCACGGCTGAGCAGTTCAACTTTTACTCTTCGCTCAGAAAACTTTAACATATTCCAAGTTTGTTGATGGCAACACGCACACATCTCTATCACGAATAACGAACTAGTTCATATTGTGATTGCAGCTGCGTTTTGCTAGCTCACTTTCACATTTCAGTATAAAATATATAATAATATTTTTCAGACGTAAACGCAAAGGAATATTTGCAAAATGAGTTTCTTTAATTATATATTCGGGCCAAAATTGTACATGGAGTACCGAGGTGTGCCTGAACCGCAGGTATGAGGTAAACAAATTGTGGATATGGTAAATTTTAATCCGATTTTTTTCTATTGTAGAGGAAAATGTATGAGCCCGGTGCAGCTGAAAAATTTGGTGAACAAATATTGTCAACGGTAAGAGGTGTCTATGTGCATGTGTGTGTGTATGCCAGTTTGTTGTGTGCTTGTTTACGTGTAGTAATACCATAACTAATTAGTATTTTGTTGTTGCAGCTGTCTGTGGTTTGGTCGGTCAGTTATTATACGTCACCGCTGATCTTCACATTCCTCTATAGGCGCGGATATTTCGTCGCTGATTCGATTCCAACGCTTGCAAAGCTCACAACGAGTGTTGGATTAATAGTCATAATATCTTTATTTATGCGCGGCGTTGGACGTCGACAATCGCGTGCTTATACAAACATGATAAATGCTTTAAATTCGGCTAAAGAGAATAGATCGTCGGATGCACTGCGTCGATTCGATATTGACTTCTCTGCATGGCCAGTGGATTTTGATGTGAAGGCCATAGCGGGGTGAGTGTCAAAGCAAAGGCCGTCTGAAACTATATATCATATGAGTATTTATATTTCAGTGATGCCAAGAAGCCAACGACCACTGTAAGTCGTCGCGAAAGGTTGAGCATTGCCACTTTGCCGTGCGAATTGCTTGCCTATGTAGCCATACACACCTTTGGGCTGTCTCTGATCTATCCCGGCTCGGTGAAGCTGCTGCAGAAGTTCATGAGTATGTCTGCTTGTTTCCCCCGCCAGAGCTGGGATAATACAATATAATACCGTTAATCTAGAACTAATCAATTCTCCTTTGCAGGGCCTGCCTTGATCTCTGGCCGCGCCAAGCTGATCGAAGACGACAATGGCATTCGCTATAAAGTAAAGACAATTGATTCAAATGAAATCGATACTCTCTTCATTGACAATCGCAATGATAATGTGGGCAATGGCAAGACCCTAGTCATCTGCTCCGAGGGTAATGCTGGCTTTTATGAAGTCGGCATTATGGGCACACCAATTGCATTAAAATATTCAGTGTTGGGTTGGAATCATCCGGGCTTTGCCGGCAGCACGGGTCAACCGAAACCAGATCAGGATAAAAATGCCATCGATGCTGTGGTGCGTTTCGCTATTAATCATCTGGGCTTTGGCATTGAGGATATTTTATTGTTCGGTTGGAGCATTGGCGGTTTTAGCACATTGTGGGCTGCCACCATTTATCCCGATGTTAAGGGTGTGGTAAGTGATAAATAGCGGATCCATCGATAACAATTTTCAATTTAATTATATTTATTCTGTTTCAGGTTTTGGACGCCACCTTCGATGATGTGCTCTACCTGGCTCAGCCACGTATGCCCGCTAGCTTGGGCGGCATCGTTCGCATTGCCATACGCAAGCATTGCAATTTGAATAATGTCGAATTGGCTGTTAAATACAATGGACCGCTGCTGTTCATACGTCGGACAGAGGATGAGATTATAGCCGAGTAGGGTCAACGCCGGTTTTTAATTGTAACTTTAGTTTATTTCACGTTACTTTGCCTTTTGCAGGGACAATCGCATTGACACAAATCGCGGCAATTATCTCACGCTTGGAGTGCTCCAATATCGTTATCCCAATTTGTTTAAGGCACCACAGCTGTCGCAGGCCAAGGCACTGCTTGCAAAGCCCTTGGAGTCGTACAGCTATAGCTTGGCCGAAGAGAAGCTGTGCATGTCTCGTCTTATAACCTATGCCTCCGATGAAGGCAAGTCCTATCCCATGCTGATTGGAGCGGATTACAATGAGGAAACTCGTAGTCAAATGGCACTCTTTTTGGTAGGTCTACAATTTATTATAAAACTTCTATTGCTCATCATAATAATATATATAATTTATACAGCTGCGCAAGCATTTACGCGATTACAATTCATCGCATTGCACTCAGCTGCCGGGCGAGTTCTTCACCATTCCATGGGACATACCCATCGAGCATGGCTTTGTATTTACTTAAGACCCCACGCATTTATCGTTTTTGGCAGTCACAAAAAAAACAGTGGTATTCGAGTGTTTTTTTTCGGGGGTCCCAATATTTAGTTAAAGAATTAGTGCATTTTAAACTGCTTATTAAATTATTAACTTGGTCAAAGCCCTGTTGTACAATACAATAAATAACTGGTGTAAAATTGTCTTACTACATATTCACACACGAGTACATATACATATAATATATATAAAATGAAATAAATGTCGCAAACCAATCACAGTCATAGCGATTAGCCCAATATATGGCTTCGTTGGTGGAAAATCTCTCTTTTTATATATATTCTATATTCTACTGAGGTCAACATATCAATTGATTCCTATGAATTTTTCTTTGATCCGCCAAATCCAGAGAAGCCCATTATAGCAGCCATATCGTCGGGCAGACCAGTTGTTGCAAATTCATCATTATCTTCGGCTTTACGTTTCCGTTCTTTTCGCTTCTCCTTCCGATGCTCCTTGTAGCGTTCCTCCTCCTCCTTGGCCTCGCGTAATCTCTTCTCCAGTTCGTAGTCTTTTTGTTTTTCGGCCATTTTTTGTTTGTTCTGCTGAAAGCGATCTTTAACCTGGTCAACGGTGCTGCGCTCCACTTTCATGGACATGCCCAGATTACGTTGATGCTTCTTTCCATTGATGTGATCCAGAAAGTTAATGGAATCTTTGACGACACAGTCGCACACATTACAGTAGTAGCCGCCAGATTGTGAGGTAGGTGTGTTTTTGTTTATCACGACGCTTTTGCCCAACTTACTGTCCAGGTCAACCTTATAGTCGCGTCTCTTCAGATTCTCGCGCTGCACAGGCTCTATTTAAAACAGAATCAATAAAATGCTATTAATGGATTCCGTACTAATGGAAGGTACAATGTTTGCCCTACCTTCGTCCTTTGGTGCTGCTTGGTTTAGCAGGCGTTCTTGTGCCAACTTTTCATACTCGTTTTTGTTCCATTTCCTTCGGTGATCATCTGGTCGCATCGTCATTTTGCTAACTTTCTTTTCCAAGCGTATGATTTTATAAAAAATATCTTTTACACTATATAATTACGATAATAATGCTAAAAATAAATATCGATAGGTAATGGAACTCAGTGTTGTATAGGTTGTTGGGCGGCTGAGGCTGTATTTGATTTCCAATATGCGTTCATACATTAAATTGTCGAAAATGCAAATTATTTATGATCAGTGGCGGTTTGCAGCTACAAAGAAATTATTATTTAATTTTACTTTATTTGAGCAATCAATGATTGTTATAGGTTAGTATCGATACTTTACAAGTTGTTTATTGGGCGGGTGAGATGATTGATTTTGATTTTTGATAGGTTTGCAGTATTTAGCTATCCAAGATCATCGTCTACATCATTGCATTCCATTGTATTTTCCAGGATAGGGATTTTTTCAATGGTAAGATTGGCAACCACGTCAGATTCGATACACTTCTCGTGATGGCTCGATAGGTTCTTCGTATGAATACTATAGGGATAATTTAAAAATATGTATATCAATTATAAAGCAGGTAAGTTACAATTAATTACGCCTTGTGTCTAGTCAAATTGTCCTTCCGTGAAAAGCTACTGCCACACTCTACGCATTTGAAGCACTCTGTATGCGAAGATATATGACGATAAAGCGTGGATTTAAGACTAAACAGCTTACCACAGCCTTTCTCTGGGCACATATACATTAATAATATGTCGCTGTGGCTCATGCTAATGATAATGGAATAGATTAATTTAATTTATGTTATGAAATTAATAACTAATACACTTACCGATTATGTCGATCTAATGAATCTTTGCGAGAAAAGGACTTGTTGCATTTAACGCAATCATATAGTGTAGTACAGCCCTCTTGGTGTTTGGCTGAATGTCGTTTTAAAGTCCATTTTGTATTAAACTTTTTACCGCAGCCTTCTACGGCACAGACATATTTTTGGTACTCCCAGCTCATAATGTGAGAGCGAGTTTTAAATTGTGTACAACATCGTCGCTGCCAATAACTTAACGCAAAGCATGTACAGCCAAGGTCAATTGACAGAAAACATAATTGCACCTAGAAATATGTATTCATTCAATGAATTGCATATACTAAATAAGACATAAACTTACCTGATATGTTGAGATTCCATTATTTGCAGTTTTTAAATCAATTATAACGAAATTACAACTGTGACGCACCACAGCCTCATCTACCACCGCAACCTCAAGTTTATTCGACGAACTGTATCGAGTAGCTTTTATTTTCAATTACAAGCTATCGATTACACTTGTAAATTCGTATATCGGTATTTTATTGATTTTACGAACATAATTCTTATTGGAAGCAAACAAGATTTGGTGTTAGATTAAAATTGCATTTTATTAAATATACGTGTCAGCCAGCAAGTATAAAGTTAATTATTTAAAACATGGGTGCTGCATTCTTTCCTGTATTGTTTTTCACTGCCGTTTGGGGTGGTGTGGGTATTGCAATGCCCATTATGACACCAAAAGGTCCACATCAAAATTTAATACGCTGCATCCTGATGCTGACTGCGGCTTGTTGCTGGCTTTTCTGGCTGTGCTGCTATATGGCCCAAATGAATCCATTGATTGGGCCAAAACTGAAGCGACATGCCATTGCAATGATTGCCAAGTCGTGGGACAACAAACTCGTCGAGGGATAAAAACTCAATTACCTGTTGTATAAATTATGTTATTCACAAATGTATAAAATAAATAACAAATAAATGTGCTAAAATTGTTTCGTTAATATACGTTTGTTAAATTTATTTCTTTGAAAATTTACTTTGGCGCGCCGAAGACTGCCAACTTAATTTAAATGCTCTCACTCAACAAACTGAGAGCGTAAGGCTTGCCAACTCGATCAACTAGAGCTCATTGAAAGAAGACAGTCCGAGAGCGACTGAGAGCGAGCGTCGTTTACTGCGCCTGTGTAACTCAATGTCAATGTCTCTTTGACCTGCGCGCCGGGCTCATCTTTAACTCTCTTTTGCAGGCTGTGATTCGTATTGGATTTTAGTTTTCTTAGAGCTTCGGGCGCGTTCAGTTGTCTTTCGGAAAAAATGTCTGATAGTTGTTTGACGTGAATATCTGTACCGTTTAAATAGCAGCTGAAAAAAATATTTTTGGTGTATATAGCTCTGCAAGTGTGTTTCATTGATCGATTGCCTTAATGCATGCTTCTTATTAGAAAGTATTTAACTGTTATATTGTGTATTAGAATTAGAACTTAGTCAAATGGAACTAAACAACTGCAAAACTCAAGTGGACTATAGCGAATAAACTAATTGGTAAGTTACATATAAGAAGAATTACAAACATGATTAAAAATGTTTAAACTTTATGATATTTTGTTTAAATTTCTTGCATTTTTGTTGAGTTCATTTGCTCCGCTTAACGAAAAATGATTCGTAGTTAGTTGCTCCCTGTTCATAAACTAGTTAGACATGCATTAGGCTAGAAAAAAGTGGTCGCACTTAAAGTTGAAGGTACAAAACTGGTTACATTACCGAACATGTTCAAAGAAGTAGCAGAAAATATGATTTTCTTCGCAATAAAAACGATAAAAACTAAAAGCATAAAGAAACGCTGGGCCATAAAAGACAAGACTCATATGCTCCAGGTGCTATAAAATGTTGAAAAATTAGAAAATACGAAAAGCAACTGAAAGAAATCAAAGCAAAGGGCGAATTGACCAACAAAGTTTGATACGCTTCTACAGTCTACAGTCTTCGGCTTTAGCTTCTGTTTCGTCGTCAGATAAACAATGTAGAATAGAGAATATCGCTACCAACATTCTCTTTGTCCATTTGTTCTTTATGTCGCTAACCGTGAGCAATTACGAACAACATGATGAAGTGGGCCAATTGGCGCCAATGGAACCCGTTGCTCCATTATTATTATGCCTTGTAGATCGCTCCAATCCGATAACTGATATGCTAAACTGAACAATTAAGAAAAACGACCTGCCGGAAATTGATTTATAAATGGGGCAAACTGTTAGAAACAAAAGCGGAAGCTGTAAAACATCTTACAAGACTCTGACTCATTTAACAAAATCGATCCGAAATTTCGCTTAGCAAAATTGTGAAAGTCCGACAGCATGAATCAGCTATCAACACGCAGAATAACCAAAACCCAAGCCAAACTAAAACCAAAATAAAGTCGAAGACAGCTGAAAATTAGTTAAAATCGTTGGCTTTTCTTGGCCTGGCATGCGACTGGCCACGCCCCTCTCAAAATCGGTGTCAAAGAGACGACACTTTTTTTTGCCGCCTGAGCTTAATTTTCAGTTTCACTCGTTATAATTTTCAGTTTTCAGTTTTCGTGACGGAAGTGGATCAAAAGAGAAATACTAATTGAAAAATATCTTTCTTCTTCGTAATTATTTTTGATAAAAGAGAAAAATACTAATGGAAAACATGTTGCGTTTCTGATAAGAAAAGAAAAGCTCTTGGGGAAAAGGAATTTCTTAGAAAAATCGCATAAAAACTGTAGTATAAATATAAAATATTTAAGTATTTAATTTGCATATATATATATTATATATTGCATATATATTTATTTATATGTATAAATCTATTTTTATCAATTTTTACATTCTTCTTTTTTCTTATCAATTCCCCTTTAAACAATTTTTTATTTTTATAATCTTATTTCGGTAATTTCTCTAGATTATAAATTATGTAAATTTTTTGTATTGTCAGCTTTATGATTTGTATTTTTTGTTGAGCTTGATTTCATTTTTTGCGAACAAAATTCTGCGTTAATCAAACACTTTCGCTCGTTAAGCTTGATACCTGCGTCGCAAAACTCCCTTTGAAGAACTCTCAGCTTTCCCCTCTTTCCCTCGCTTCTTTTCCAGTTTACACCCACACACACACACACATACATACAATACAATGTATAAACACACTGAAACTGTGTAGAATCGCAAATTGGTAAGAAAGATCGACTCGATCATTATGAGCTAACCCAAATTACAATTGACGCTGGCATCTTTTGCTGGTCAACTGTGCCGCACGATTTGCGGCGAGAAAGACAATGAAAATAAATGACAGACTGAGAGGCGGACGGACGGCGAGTTGGACATCGTAGCGACTGCTTTGCTTCGAGCTGGGCAGAGAAATAGAACATAACGCTAAACTGCAGCTAAATTGCATTCAAATGATGTAAAAATCGCAGCTAATGGGCCGATCTTTTGTTTCGCCAGGCGAGCCGCGTCTCGCCGACCTCAAATTGTGAGTCGGTGCAGCAACAGCAACAGCAACAGCAGCAGCGGTAAAGCGAATGCACTTGGAGAAATAACGACACATAAAGAAGAAGTACGAAATGGGGAGTGCATGACTTGGAGATACCCAGCGACCCCAGACGCATGGGACATAGCTAGCTCAACTCAACTTGCCGTCCTGATCAAGAAATGTATATATTTACTCAAGTCTGCCACGCCTCCATCTGCCTGTTGCATATATTTTCAGAAAACTATTATACCCCGTAATTAAATGGGTTCAGGGTATAGAGAGCGAGAGAAAAAGTAGAAGGAAAGAAGAAAATGAAATGCAGTCGCTCATCGGCGTGTCTTGCATTTTGATCGTGGCTTTAATTACACTTGGTCTTTGGTTCTTATCTATGCATCTCTCGCTCTCTCTTTCTATCTCCCCTCCTCTCTCCTTTTCTCTGCTGCATGCTATGAAAACTCAGTTCGCCTCTTATTTGCATTTGTTGTGCACACTTTCAGCTGGGATTGGATATTTTTATAGCTACCTCAACTTCATTTTATTTTTCGTTTACATTCTTGCATTACACAACACTAATTAAAGCCGCTTCTCCACAACCCAGGCTGGCTATAAAACATTAAGACATCGCTTTAAATGCCATTCAATTACACTATATTACACAATACTAATCCAAATCCAATTGGAAAAAGTCGCTATTTAACCTTTCTAATAGCACAGGGTGACTCCACAATTACTGCTTGCGCGCCAAATGTTTATTCGATTTACCAAACTAATATCAGAAAACCGTTTTATAATCAGTCAACGTCATTTTGTTGGTTTTATTATTATACATTTTTTGTAAATTTGTCTGGCAGCACTGTCAAAATAACCGTTTAGCACTTACTCAAAGCTGTTAGCAGTATAACAGCACTAAGAACAGCAACAATAAATACATCTACACAGGGTGACTACACAAAATTTGTTGCAGCTCTCATGCCTGTGAATCAAATAAGCTATTCCAGCCGAATTCTGTTCCAGTCTATACACACGCAGACCCACACTGGCTCACACACTTGCTCACACATGGCTGGGAAAGAGCGACGGCTTGAGATTTGTTTGCTTTTAATTGCATACATATTTAGTTTGGTTAAAGCGTAACGGTTAATGCTTTTAATGACTAAGCCCACCCGCCCGCCTCCCATCCCATCTCATCACATCGCATCCCATTCGCGTGATCCAAGAGTTTGCTGCAGTGTCGTTCGGCTAGTCATTCCAAATGAAATGCACTTTTTGGTTCCAAGCGGAACTTTGGCGACGTTTACCAACAGTTTTAAGGCTTATCTGCTGCTGTTGTCGTCTCTAGCTCTGCCACTGCCACTGCCACTTGCTGTTGTTGTTCTGCTCTAATAAGGCGTTCAAGGCGAAAAGCCGTTAGAATGATTATGAAATTGCAAAGCTGTGCTGCATATTGCATATTAATGCATGCGAAACAATTACTTACTATATATATTATACAATTATTTTCATTCATGAGTGCGCGCTCATATTGAGCTACTTTTACCGCAGCTCATTCAATCAATGGATTGCATAAATTTACCTCCAAGTCTAAACGAATAACTCAGCAACACAATTATGACATCTCGCTAGCCAGACGTGTGCGAAAAATATAATAAATAAATAAATACTTTCAAATTTAGGAAATTGGTTGATTTTTTTTGAAGCTGCATTGTTGGAATGCTTTTTTCGATCTTCTAGTTTTTTTTTCACGAAAAATAAACTTTCCATTTCGCTGGCATCTCTTACTGTTTTTACTGTTTTTTTTTTTTTTTATGTTGATAAACATTTCCAAATGTCGAAATGTTCACATTTCACTTTCTTCGTCGCTGACACTTTGTGTGGCCATTATTATTGAAAGTGGATGTGCTTGATTATAATCTGGTTCGAAAGATCGTTTCACAGGTTCGACACTATTCAAAACTGTTCAACAAACAGTTTCAATATCAATTCAACAATGGTTATATGGACCAAACAGGTTGCACGCTTCCGTTAGAAATTCGGCTAGACCGAATTCTCTCATCAATCATTCTTAGCTTACGTTGCTGCTGTTGTTGTTGTCGTAGTTGTTGCTGCATTGCTTCCACAGTTTCTCCAATGGGTGAAAATCGGCTAATGCGAGAAATTTAATCAACTTATGCGTTGTCGGCGTTGACAACGTCTTAATGCCACCGAATTGTGAGTGAGTGTTGATTTTTTTCAGCTATTTTTTTTTTACTTTACACACATAATTCAATTTGTTCTTTCTCCGTAAATACTTACACACACACACACATGCCTACACAAATGTACATTCAACAAACGGTCAGGTTTCCAGTTTTGGGGTCTGGGCCTGCGCCTCGAGTGCCGACTCTTTGACTCTTTTTGGCTCGCTTGAGTTGCGGCAGCGCAACTGGGTCAACGTCAACCCATGGCAATGGCCATGGCAATCGCAGTGGCTCGGCCAAGCGCTTTTCTGGCAGCACTCACATATGTGTGTCTGGCCACACTCAATGATGGTTCTTATGCGCGTATGCGTGTGTGTGTGTCGGCACTCACTCACATTTGTGATTGCGTGTCTGTCAGCCTGGCCACACTCAATGATTGTTCTTATACGCACACGCATGCGCATACAAATAAGCATGTGTGTGTGTGTGCAAATGCTTGCTGCTTACATATATTAATTGTACTTATACTGCAGGTTGTACATAAAGCTTTTTCTGCTTCGCCGCTTTGTTGTTTTTTATGCAAATTTTTTGCTTTCTTCATGCGGAAAATGTGCCGTTTTATTTACTAACTAAATAATTTTCCATAAACTTATTAAGTCACTGAAGATTTAGGCTGAAGCTAAGACTTTAACATCGCTGGGACTTGAATTTTAGTAAATCACTAATTTCAGCTCGCTCCTTCTTCCTTGGCTCGCCTTTTGCACCTGCTTAAGAGATGCGTTAATACATTTATGAATTCAGCTATACTTTAGCTGACTTATCGCTTAAAACCGTTTCATTAAAAACAGCCCGCCTTTATAGCTTTTGAGCTGCTTAATATTGCAGGGCTTTCAATATTATCTTTAAGCATGTATCTGAAAACAACAAAAAACCAATTAGTTTCACCTGAAGACAGACAACATCAAGCATTGGGCTTACAACAATAACAACATCATCAGCGCATTCCAAGGCAGAACTTTTACTTTTGACAGTTCAGCGACGAGGCTCAAAACTCAAAAGACTAACATTTTTGTTGCTGCCACTCGGCGCTCGCTTCTCGCTGATCGCACAGCTTGGCATCCCAGGTAGCCAACGCAAAGACTATTTTTACACAGGTTTCTCTAAGCTTTGATTATACATAGTGGCAATATAAATACTACGTATGTATATGACTCGCTGGCACGAGCAATAACCCTGCCCAGCCAGCCATCCAAGCCATCCAAGCCAGCCAAGCTATCCGAGCCATCCAAACCCAACCCAGAACTGGTTTCTTTGCCTGATCTTCAGCTTGTACTTGGGTTAAAAAAAAGTCACTCGAGTGTGTTCTGCATTTCGTTATTTATTTTTTTTCCCTCTCAACATGAGTGAAAATGCCAACACAATTGTTTCGAATTTGTAGCTCAAGATGAGGCCTAGCAAGCGTATCCAAAGTGTTGGAGTTTTATAATTAGATTTGGCTCAACAGACTTTACATATATTTTTATTTTGCTTTTGGGTTTTGGAAATTCGGAAAAGCTTTCGCTTTTACGACTGTCCAGCCAGCACTTGACGTGCTCCATAAACCAATTATGACAATATATACGTATATATATATATGTGAGAAATATAATAATTTAATTGTGAAAATGTCAGCTCTGTGTTCCCATAGAAAGCATTTCTTTGGAGTAGATTTATTTCAGGTAAACCGGTTAACAAGTCTGTGCTGCATAACTATTTTCCACACCTCAGTGTCATTCTTATTTTCTTTTTGGAATTTCTTTTGCTTGGCGAAAAGTGAGAATTTCCATGGTGGAACAGGACGAGCCGGTTTTTTGGCCACCGGAAGCGTGTTTGAAAACTCAGATGAAGCAATCAGCTTCAAAGTTTAGACCAATAGAAAGCAAACTCTTTTCGCAGTTTTTGTTTTTGTTTGTTTTGCTTTGTTTTGATCGAAAGTGAACTAAGTAGATTAAATTATTAAAGTTTACCAACAGCTTTGCTTGGAGAACATTGCAATTCCTAAGTAGCTCAACCTTTTTAGAACTTTACTTTAGAGCTGTGGCTTGAAATACTGTTAATTCGTTTCTGGTTCATCTAACTAGCTCAAAACAACATTTAAATATATTATATGCATTTATATTATTATAATTCAACTTACATTTGTTTTTATTTTCTTACAGAGCAACTGTTGCAGATCCGAACCTTAAGTATCTTGTGCGAATTTCTGCAAAATGGACACGGTTTATGGCACCAAGAAATACTTTCAGAGCTTGTCCGGTGTAAGCGATATATATCGCACGCAGACATGTCGACAAATGGTTTGTATAATTAACTAACTTACCTCGTAACTATCTGCACCTATTTATGTAAATTTCCTCTCTGTATCATTGTGAAAGAATGGTTAACTGTTATACAACTTGACGATGAATATTATTAGAAACTAATTTGCATGACAAGAGAATATTTCAAGCAAAACTGGGTTAAATATCTTCTCCGGAATAAAGAATTGCTCTTGATAAGCGCTTACGTAAAGCCCACTCGAGATACGAGATGAAGACGACGAAACGACAAAGAGCTCAGCTGCATATTTATTTAGGCACTCGCTTGATGCGAGTGATGCTGTTTGCATTGCCCATTCTACAAACCAGATGCCAACTTTAGTTATTAAGTCAAACAATTTCAACAAGCTAGAACGCTAAAGGTGAATGACTTTCTCTTTAAAGAACCAAACAGAACGAACGAACAAAGCGAACAGAGTCGAGGAGAGCGAGTGGGAGAGAGAGAGAAGCTACCAAGAATTCGGCTGGGCTTGGAAAACAGCTGTTGCGACAACAGGTTGTCGAAGCGTATAGCAGGGGAGAGCGAGAGGGATAGTAAGAGAGGGCGATTGCTAGAGAGGGGAGATGGAATACAGACGTTCTGTATTATGCTCCACAGCTAATGGCTGCTAAAGGGCAATTGGAAAACAAAACGGAAAAAAAAGAGGAAGTATGCTGGCTTGATTGATTTGAAGATACCCTGTGAAAAATAATAAATGTATACAACAAAATAACTAATAATTCATACTTATATATACCTGATTAAATATTTATTTATACCGATTATGCGTCCTGCTACAGTTAGTTGTATCAGGTTACAGCCTATCAATGTCTTATACATCAGTCTTATACATGTATCATCTTCATCATCATCATAGTCTTATACAAGAGTCCCATGGCTTACTTGCTTAGTGCAATGACTGACTAAATTAAATACGTAATACGCGTGAAATGGTCTTGCGACGAATGACGGCATCAATTAAGAAATGATGACAGCTGCTAACTAATTTTCTTATAGTATCACACGATTTTAGTTCTCCCAGCTAACCGTTAGAAATTAGGCAAACTCTAATCAAGGTTAAACTAGAATGCTAATCAGATTTGTGATCTCCTATTTTAGTATTTAGGTTGAAAGAAAGTATGCAAAGGTCTAGCGGGTTTCTTGAGAAAGTTTCGCAAAGCCCTCGAGTCATTAGTCAAGTGCTCAGATAATTATCTGATTAGCGCCGATTAATTGTTTTTGATAGCTTGCTTACCCAGACATTTGTTTGACATGTATTCGAAACACACTTTATCCAACATCGAAAAATAAATATGTTGCGATTTGTTATGCGACCAGGGCTGCAACTACTAGACCGGAAGTTGAACTTGGCAGTTAGCGAACCGAGCCATCATTCCTAATTACTTAATTACTGCAGACAAATATAAAAATATTTTGTTTTCTCTAAGAAATTGTATTTATGTTATTTTAGAACACCTCCGAATACAATTACCAGAACACGCTCGGCCGTCGCTCCCAGCTGGGCGCCTATTATCACATGAACAAGCAGCCCTCGTACACGAACGATCACAGCATCAACAGTCAATATGGCGGCTATAATACATGGGGCATTTGGCGGGATGGCCGGAATATAGCGCCCTCCACATTTTCAACGAAAACGCATACGCACTATCCAAAGAATCGATCGTTCTCGATTATATTAACGACAGCAGCTTTCATAGTGCTGCTGGCGGTGATCTCCATAGCCGGGCTGGCGTTCTACTTTAGCTCCATCAAGGCGACACTGGAGGATCGTAAGTATTTATATACATATGTAGAAATAAATTGTTTAAACAAAAATAAAATACTTTCTCATATATCATACTATCAAGTAAGATAGTTTTTTTTAACGAAAGAAAAACCGAAAACCGTTACATTTTACATTTTTTAACATCCATTAACGTATGGAGCAATTGATCGATTTCTTGCAGCTATTCTTGGCTTTGAGGGCTCCTTTCGCATTGCCAAGGGCGATTTGTATTCCACGGGCCTCAAATACAATCACACGACGACCTACAAGCAAAAGATCGAGTTCTATAAGCGATTTGTGGAGCGCGCGCTGACGGACAATGGACTGCAGCCACTGCGCACCGATGTCTGGGGTTTCGGCGAGGGTCCATTGATTAAAGTATCTTTTCGCGTATTTCTAGATGTGCGCAAGCTGCCACAGTGAGTTCGTCACCAAACAATTCCTTACAAATTTACTAATCCTGTTTCATATTAGAAATATAATCAGCGTGGAGGAGTACATCAAAGAATCTCTGTTCCTGGAAACCTCAGTCAGCAAGTCGCTTTATCGCTCACTGCGTCTGGACACTGAATCCGTGGAGATCAAGCGTATTCTCGATGAGCAAGTTGTGCGCTCAGCAGCTATATTAAAGGAAGCGGTAAGTACTGCAAGAGCTCAACTTTAGATCTATGTATAGTTAAATTCAACTTTTATCTCAAATCGTAGCAAACGGTGCCCACCAGCCAGACCCAATTGGAGAAGCGTCTGATGAAGAAGGGCAGTGCACCAGCCGTTGCGCCACTTGCCCCACTACAGGGAAAGACTACAGCTAAGCCACGTCCAGCTTCACGTCCGCATTCAGCCGATGATGAGCCGGAAATAGATGTGGAGAATGCACCTGTTATACAAGGATCGTTTGAGGGTTCCTTTGAGATAACCAAAACGGATGCGGATATTGCGCGCAAGAAGACCTCGCCAACGCGCTCCTATCAGAGCAGCAGTCTGCCACCCAAGTCCATAGCAGTGACGCCCTATTCGCTGCGTGTGAAGCCGAAAAAACCGAGCGTGGATAAGCTGACGACCATAACGCCCCAAAATCAAATGATCAGCAGCTCAACAACCACGACTACTACCAGGAAACCAACAACAACCACCACTAGAAGAACTACGACTAAAGCAACAACGCCTTCCACAACAACAACAACAACAACAACGACGACGACTACTACAACTACGACTACAACAACCACGCCTAAGCCCCCCACAACAACATCGACCACAACGACAACAACGGCTGCTCCCCCAGCAACAACCACACCCAGCACAACGACAACAACAACCACATTTATGCCGCCCACTTCGACCATGGTGCTGCCCAAACTGGATGCGAATCTTTTTACCACCTTCCCCATACTAGACACTCAGCCATGGCGACCCATACACCGTGAGGTGCCGGAGCTGATTCCCGGACCACCGCCTGCCTTCCCCACGAAAACGCTGCCAACGATTAATCAGATGCTGCCACAGCGTCGCATCGATGAGTTGGAGCTGCCGTTTATAGCGGATAACCCGACGCCCCCAGCCGCTGCGATACCCGCACTGGGCGTTACACTAGATCCATTTGTAGCTCTTTCTGGGTATGCCAGCCGTCAGCCAGCTGATGGCAAGTTAGATCTGCCCAACGCTCAGAAGCCAGAGCAGGATATGCTATTCTATCATAACTTCGGCAGTCCCGTCTATTTGCCTGGCACGGAGAACATTGAGCGTTTGGGTGGTGCGTTGGTTGAGCCACATCCGCTGCCGGTGCCACTGATCGATGACGTCATTGTGCCACCCTTCAGGCCAATCAATCCCACGCTGGGCGGTATGAACAAGCTGCAGTTCAACATCGATGGCAACAATGAGAAATTCGAGCATTTGGGCGGCGGAGTCATAGCCAAGAAGCAGGAGAATGCTAGTAACGCGGAGCCTAAGGTGGAGAGCACCACAGCCAAGTTGACTACAACAACGGTCACCAGTTCGACGACTCCATTGAAGATACAGTTGGATACTGCGCCAACTCAGAAGCCTGTTGCTCCTGGCCAGAAGCCGGAAAACTCTGTGCTTGCAGATACCATTGGGGAATTCTTCATGGAGCTGCTGAATTTGCCCAAGGAGGAGAATGCCACAACCACAATTGTACCAGAGCAGATGGAGTCACGCATTGAAGCTGAAGATAAGGAGGGAGACTTGGACCTGCCGGCGGAGACTGCCAGTCCAACCAAGCCAAACTTTATGAATCTTAAGGAGTTGATTCTACAGCGAAGCTCCACAACAACAACAACAACTACAACTTCAACCACAAGTACGACAACAACTAGCACCACAGAGGCACCAACCACCAGCACCACCAAACGCAATCGCATACGTCCAAATAGCGAACGGCCCATCATGTTGGATGACTCCAATCTCTTTCCCTCCCACTCCAAGTGGGAATTCGTTAACAGCTCCTCGCCTGTAAACTTTGGCTATGGAGGCAACATGCGCAAGGTGTTCAATAAAACACTTCAAGCTTGGGTCTCTGAGGACGTGGAGAAGACGGAGAACTATACGCTACACGATATCAAGACGAGGATCAATAATGCCAGCAATATACAAGATATTTCATTGATATTCGACACTTTGGCCTCCAAGCTGGGCATCACGCCCAGTGTGCCCATGAAATTTCCGCCTTTCTCGCAGAACAAACTGAAGCACAACCAGAGGAATGAGACGAAGGTGAAGACGACGACAACGACCACTGAATCCATGCCCTTGTTGGAGTCGAGTGTGAAGAGCTTCGTGGAGCTGCCGCTGCAACAGCGCGAACCTTTCATTCGACCCATGTCCAGCTTTATGGACGATGGCTCCACAGAAGTGTTGGGTGCTGCGATTCCCGTTGTGGGTGAGGCAGAGGTGGAAGTAGTAGACCCCATCAAGTACGAGGAGCTTTTGAAGACATCCCAGTTTGCGGAAGCAACATCCACGGAACCGAGTCCACATCGCTTAGTTACCCTGCTGCCAGTACGCTCCAATTCCGGTATTCGGACTTACAAACCACCTATAGAGGAATTAGAGCAGGATTCCAAACGTAGTCAGAGTCAAGTAGAGATAGCCCCTGAAGCCTCCAAACCACGGTCCAAAGGCAACAGCAGTATACGCCGCAGAACTAACCCGAATCAGAGTCGAAGATTTGGTCAACCGCCCGCGGAGGCGGTTGTCAAGGGTGGAATTAAGGTCACGGTTAAAAAATAGAAACTCACTAAAAGAAATGAAAAGCAAAAATAATAAGCAAACATTTAGAAAAGCGACTCTAATATACTTAGTTGATAAGTAGAAAATTTAAGAGCAATTTAATTAAATTAATTTTAATACATTGAACTCAAATCTTGTTCGAAAATTGTTCACAAATCCGAAACCGAACAATTTTGGAATGACAATTTTTTAGTATTTGGCAAAAATAAATAGCCAAACTTTAGTTAAGATTTTTTTATTTATTGTATACGATTTCGAAGCTGTTTAGTTCTTTTCATTTTTTATCAAATCACAATCAAACATTATATCTCCTACAGCTTCAGCTTACGAAATTAGGTTAACAGCTTAAAAATAAGTTACAATTTAGTCAAAAAAGCTTAAACTCGAATATTGAATAAATTTATATGTAAACAACTGCTTGAATTATCGTTACACTAGTTTCTTATCGATTATTTGCTTGGCAACAACTTGTGGCTTATCGTAAATAATGGTCGCTGTGGTAACCCTAAATGCTTGGTTGCTTTCTCTGACCCAGCCCTGGTGGATTGGTCTATTAGTTTCGCGGTTTTGGTTGTGAGGAAAAGAAAACAAATATTGATTGGCTCAAAAATAATAAGTTTTTAATTACATTAAGTGTTATAAATATATTTAATTGAAACCATGGGTTGTGCCGAAAGCAAGGATGGCGATGGTGAAGCTCAAAGTAATAGAAATAGACCCAAATATCGCTCCTGCACGGATGTTTTTTGGCTGGCTATTTACATATTGTTTTGGCTCTTTTTGGTAAATGATATAATAAAAGTGAAACTAAATACATATATATTTGTGATTAAGTATATAAATGTGTATGCAGACTTGTTTAGACTGTCATAGATATTTATTTCAAGAAAGTGAAAGCTGCAAAGATTAATCATAGACAATTGCAAGTTGTCTCATCGGATGAGGGAGCAAAGGGAGGAAAAGGTCGCCGGATGAAGCAGATGCATGTGACGTCATCGTTGTCATATGAGTGGGAATTGCTAATTTTGCTAATGTAAAACTGACCACAATGAATAATGAGGTTAATATGCCTCATACTCCTCCTCTTCCTCCTCCTCATTCGCCTCCTGCTAAACCTATGCATAATTATTAATATTCTTTTCGCTTTAACAATTGGTTTTCCTCACGCGATCTCCATGCTCCATGTCAATTTTTAAGCCGTGGGCGTTGGCTCCCTCTGTCAGTAGCAAATACATACATATATTATCATATATTATAGACATACAGTGGCACATGCATACAAATAATAGGTATTTCTATTAGCATACAGATTAGATCATTTTTATTTTGTTTGCTTTGCTTGCAGATTGTCATCGCGATATTTTCGTTTGTGTTCGGCAATCCTTTGCGTCTGATTAATGGCTATGATTCCTTTGGCAATACTTGCGGCGTCAAGCACAATGAAAAATTTCAGAATTTTCCTCTATCGGGCATGAATACGATTGACAAACCGGAGTTGCTTTACTTTGACGTTAAGGAGCTGAAAAAATCCCTGAAGATCTGCGTTAAAAGCTGTCCGAAACGGACGCTCAATCAGCCAAAGGAACTGTATCAATACTTCACCGAGACCGGTGCCCAATATTGTAAATATGATTATAATATGGCACAATTGGATAAGCCTGGCTTGACCAAAGAGGATAAGACGTTCAATACTCTCGGACCATGTCCTAGTTTGCCCATCTTAGAGAGGTAGCTAAATTGAGCATGAAATGGACTATTATTTAACTCTTCACATTTGTCTTCTAGCTCGCCCGTACTGCATCGCTGCGTACCGAAGCAATCTAGCAAGGAGGTTAAGGAAATGTACAAGATGCTTAACAATTGGGATGTAGCTCAACAGTTTCTTGGCGACATCTACTCCACGTGGCATATCATAGCCAGTGTTTGTGCCGTTTCCCTGCGTATGCTTTTAATCTACATTTAAAGCTAAAAATTATAAACTATATCAATGTTCTGTTCGTCTAGTCATATCCATTGCTTTGGTCACCATGATGCACTGGCTATCCCGCATTGTTTCCTGGCTCATTTGCGTGCTGGTCATTGTGGCCAGCGTTGGCCTAACAGCAGCTCTCTGGTATGCCTACTACGGCATACGCAACAAGTCAAGTACGACGCAATACTCGCAGCTCGAAGAGTTTCTGCGCAATCAACAGGCTGTGTTCACACTCGCTGTGCTGGCCACTATAACCATGGTGAATTTTTTAGACTATAGATAGTATAATGTGGACAATCTATAATTCATTTGTATTGCTCTACAGGTTGTTTTGCTGGTCATTATATACTTCCTTAAGAACAAGCTCTCTGGCCTGGCTGCGCTCTTCGAGGAGGCTGGCGTCTGCATGATGAATTTGCCTGGACTTTTAATAGCTCCTCTCTTGGCATTTCTGGTGCTCATTGCCTTTCTTGCATTTTGGGTGGTTGTTGTCATCTGTCTGGTAACAGCAACAACGCCCGATCAGAGTCCCATTGCACCGTTTCACAGCAATGCGGTGCATCCATCTCTGCCGGCCAATGCAGCCGCAATGCTGCTCAATCAAACAGCTCCCAGCACCGATGAGAGAAGTAAGTGATCAATCTAACTAGCTTTAACTAAATAATCTAGTCTGTTCAACTATAGCATAAGCTAATTGCTGTAGGACTACCAACTCGCTGAGTACTCAAGCGACCTATGAGTCTTTTTTTTTAACCCGAATAGATCAGCTAAATTAAAAATCTTTGCGGTTTCATTATATCCAAAAATGTACTTCCAAATTATTAATCCTCTGCATATATTTTTGGGTTTTGGTTTGATTGTTCAAAATCGGGTTATTTAAATGTGTAAGTGTTACATCAAAATTTCATTCTAAATGCTTGCATGTTTCATTTGGCATTAGCCTTCTGTATATATATTTACTTATCTTTGTGTATTTTTGTATTCATTCCATATAAGTATGATACTTTGTAATTATGGCCGACAACGTTTGAAATATTTGTATACTTGACTTGTATATATACTCTATACCATATACTATATTCCTGTATTTACTTATTTGATTAGCTATACCCATTCGCTATACATGTGTACAAATCTTTGAATATCTTTATGTATGTATTATTCCATTTATTACAAGTTAATAACAATTTATGCTGCCCCCTTTTAGCCGTCACACGCATAGAGTATGCAGATGCAACTGTCTTGCGCAGCATGTTCTGGATTTATGTGGTTGGCTTGATTTGGACTGTGGAATTCATCTTTGCCTGTCAGCAATTCGCGTTGGCAGCTGCCGTGGCCTTTTGGTACTTTAGCAAGCCGACAACGACGCCAACTATTTATGCTATTGGCAAATTGATTAAATACCATTTGGGCACCGTGGCGAAGGGCTCCTTTGTCATAACCATATTCAAAATACCGCGATTGATATTGACTTATCTCTATGCCAAGTGAGTTTTCTGCTTTAACTGCATAAATATATGTATCTAAATTATGTTTCGTGTTTCTTTCAGGCTGAAGAAGGGCGAGGATAAAGGCTCGGAGTGCGCTGCCTGCTGCTTAAAGTGCTGCATTTGTGGCTTTTGGCTGCTGGAGAAGTTTATTCGCTTCCTCAACCACAATGCCTACACTGTGGTGGCCATTGAATCCATCAACTTTTGTCCAGCTGCAGGCATTGTATGCACAAGTCTGATTTATGTATATATTCATCTTATAAATATGTATGTTTATTCATATTTCAGGCCTGGAATGCTATGGCCACCAATGCGCTGCAAGTGGCCACGATTAACAGCATTGGCGATTTCATTTTGTTTTTGGGCAAAGTTGTAGTGGCTGCGCTGTCGGGTCTGCTGGGCATCTTTATGCTGAAGGATAAGCCAGGCTTGAATTTCTACATGGCGCCCGTAATCCTGATCATAATATTCTCTTTCTTCATTGCACATATTGTGTTGTCGCTCTTCGAGGTAAAAATTAGCAATTTAATCAAAAATTCGATAGCTAATATAATCTATTCGTAGATGGTTGTCGATACACTCTTCCTGTGCGTTTGTGAGGACAAGACTATTAATGGACGCGCTGGCCGGTGGGCTCAGAGCAATTTGGCCAAACTGGTTGGCGAGGAGCCCCTACAGCCAGGAGAGGAGCCGCCCATCCAGGTGTACGAGATGATGCCCATTAACAAGCAGCCGTTTAGCATTACTCGATTGCCGCCCACTGATGCCGAAGTCTCCCCAATGGCGGAGTAATTCAGCAACTCATCCATTCAGCAGTAAAAGACGCTTTGTTCTTCTATATATTTATATCGATGTATTCCGTGCTCCCATCATAATTAAGATACTCTTCTCTCTCCGTGTGAACAAACATAACTCAACGTACAAAACGTAGTGAAAAAGGCAACATATTTATATATATTTATATCTACGTGTATATTCTATTTTGTAAAACGTGAATGAAAGTAACTGAGGCACAATATTGTAAACGTATTTATTAAATGTATTCAGTTTTTTTTTATATATGTGTATTTATTCGTAAATGTAACGCGAAATAAAACATTTTTAAACTTTTTTCTCTCGTTTGACCCTTGCCTTGCGCTGCTCGATCACCTGCTTAACGGCCTCCATTTGCTTGTCCTTAATTTTTTTGGTCAACGCCGATTTAGGAGTTTTCTTCTGCTCCAATTGCTTTTTGGCCTTAAGTGCCAGCAACTTGGCTGTCTCTAGTGGATCCTCATCGTCAAACAACTCTTCATTCTCAATGCCCTCATAAGCCTTGACTGGTCGCGTCGCTTCCTGCTGCACCTTCTGCTCCACACGATTTACATATCTGTCCTTAGCTGCCTTCTTTAACATTTGTCGCTGCTTGGAAGGACTCACATAATCGGGATTCTCCCAAATGGCTTTCCCGGTAAATGAGCCATCGAATATCTTCACGGGATTCATTACATAGCGTGGGCCTACCTCCGAAAGACCACCGTCTTCAGATAGTATCTGGAAATTCCTAAACCAAATGCGATTATCCAGATAGGTAAATGTGTAGACATGGTCAATAAAGGGCTGACTCTTCGGATGATGATTGGGCACTGAAAATGTCTGTACAAACAGTTCCTTAAGAAGTTTTAAATGGGGCACCTCGTCGAACTTGGCATCAAAGGACAGCAAAGGCCGAGACCCTCTTAAGCAATTGCCTGTGAGTTTCAGCTCGGCCATTGTGTGAATATTTTCAATGAGAAATTTGGCTGACGGCCCTGTAGCTCCCGCTGTGTTAGCCAACCACATATACAAATCCCGTTTTCGACGTCCCTCAAACAACATGGCCTTGTTACAGTGCTTCATTTCACACATTTCATTAACAACCGCCAGCGTCTTGGATCGCTCCATTTTCGACTCGGGTCGATGATGGGGCATTAGAGTTTTAATGTCACGCATCAGATGTCTGTCACGATGGCTAATACCACGTGCCGCGAACACCAGGACACGTTGTTTGTTTATCCATTTTTCCTGCAAAAATATTACAAACATCGTAAAAGTGCATTTCGTGTTTGAATGAGATGGATTTACCTTCTTCGGAACGACCTCATCAGATGGTCTTTGACTGGGTAGAGGTGGATTCTCATCAAGTGGCACTATCTCTAGCTGCTCAACCTTCTTTTTCTTTATGAATTTGCGCCCCATTTGTAGTTCTTTGCGATTTCGAGTTAATATTGACCACTACGCCAAACAACGTGGAGTTGAAATGAATAGAGGTGTGATTAGCCACAATATGTAATATCGATAGTTTTCATATCATCGAACTAATCGAAAAGAGAAGAATGTTGTTCATTTAATCCCTTTAGCATATCCCATTTTATTTGTAACAATTAACTTAATTTTAATAATTATCATAATAATAACAATATATATAAATCATTTATTCTTGTTCATCAGTATCCCATCCAGGCTCGGGGCATTGGCTGCAACGGCTCTCATTTATCCCGTAACCCAGGCAATGGCCACCAACACATTCACAGCAGCCATCGTGAAACCACCTGTAGCTAGCTGCACCTGTCGCCTGGCAAGTTTGTCGACACTTATTCCAAGAAGTGCACTGGTCCAGATATAAAACTGTACAATTGCGCGTCACAGGTTCATCGTCGATTTCATTGCTGTTTTTCGGGAATGTGTGCACATGCCAATCGTAGGTGTAACCGTCATTTGGTGACGATGTTAGTGCCTCGAATAACGCTGTTGCTCCATCAAAATCCTCCACATGCGACTTCTTAGACATCTTAGCCATGTCGCCACGTATAAGCTGGATGGAGATCATCATCGCCAGCATCTGTATGGCTCCTCTTTGTATCGATTTCATTCTATGAACAAATTCCTCGTTATTAGTGGGTTGTGTTTTATATGGATATTGCACACGGATGATGATGAACTCCTGCAAATTATTGATGCTGCGCAACAGGTAATTCAGGATCAACAGAGCATCTGCTCGCCTACCTAAGATTTCAACAAAAACATTTGCCAAACATTAGTGCTGTAAAACGACGTTCTTGTTAGCAAAACAAAAATAAAAAGAATACAATGAAATGCCAATCGATAAGTACCGTCGATAACTTATACAATAGTATACACAAAGTCTTCTCTGATTATTCTGCCATTTTGTATTCGGCGTCCGGCCAGCAAAATAAAAACGCAGTAAAACTAGGTGTTGCAAAATTTAAATTTTTTAATTCGAAATAATAAAGTATGTCAGACTATCGCTCTCAATCCCGTGGAGGAGGCCGCGGTCAGGACTATTCAAATGACGACGATCCGCCCATGTCGCGACTTTTCATAATATGTAACAAAGCACATACCGAAGAAGATTTTCGAGAAGCTTTCTCACCTTACGGCGAAATCGAGGATATTTGGGTAGTTAAGGATAAGCATACACAGGAAAACAAAGGTATTGCATATGTGAAATTTTCAAAAACGTCTGATGCGGCCAAGGCCCAAGAGCAGATGAATGGCAAAACTATTGGAAAAACGGACAGAACCCTCAAAGTGCTGGTTGCCGCAAAGTAAGTGACCTGGCATAAATTTTTTCTCTTGCTGAGGTCAGCAAAAATTGTAAAATTTGTCATAATTTTTTGCAGTCGGAATCAGGGCTCGAATAAATCGGAAAACGAACAGGAAAAGTATGTGCGATTGTTTATTGTTATTCCAAAAACCGCCACCGAGGACGACATACGGGATGAATTTGCTCAGTGGGGTGAGGTGGAAAACGTCACAATTGTACGGGAAAAGAATAATGGTAGTCCCAAGGGTTTCGGATACGTCCGTTTCACAAAGTATGTATCCACTAATAGAGACATGCGATGATCATGTCTAGCCTGTACATAATTAATTTATGAACATATATATTTTTATAGATTCTATTATGCAGCCGTGGCATTTGAAAATTGCTCATCGAAATATAAGGCCGTCTTCGCCGAACCCAAGGGCTCCACACGAACACAGCGGGATCAATATGGTCGCCTCGCTGATGATAGTCCAGTGTATCCATCGGGACGTGGGGGCGGCGGTGGCTCGAATTATAATGGTGGCAGTGCCGGCGGTAGTGGTGGTAGCTTCAACAACGATTGGAATGTATCGGTCAACAGTGATATGTCCGCATTTCTACGAATGCAAAATGTGCCTGTGCCTCAACCCACGTGCTTGGAAGTAACTGTCAGTAATTGTGTCAATCAAGATCAGCTGTGGCGTCTCTTTGATATAATACCTGGATTGGATTACTGTCAAATTATGCGCGAGCGTAAGCGGAAATAATATAAATATAATCATGTATTAATATGCATTGCTTTTTAGATGGTCCACGCACAAATGAAGCTGTGGTCGTATATGATAACCCTGAAGCAGCAATATATGCCAAGTATATGAAATTTTGTCAAGGTATTCCTAAGGTAATTTACTAAATCAAAATTTTATTTCTATAGGGATAAACTGCATGGGCTGGAATATCCCATGGGTGAACGTATAATTGTCAAGGTCAACGGCATGAGTTCTGCTCGCATGGACACTTCATTCATAGACAGTAAGAAATGGTTGCGAAAATGTATGGTTATTTTATTAACCTCTTGTCATTCTAGAGCGAACTAAAAAGGATGCGATATGCAACGTACCATTGCCGCCAACACAACCACTGGCATCGCCAGATGCACAAGTTGCGCAGCGACTGTTTATTGTTCTGTCAGCGGTATGTAGTATGTTTAAGTTGATTTCTTCCTCATATATTTATATATATTTGGCAATTTTAGAATCTACCCCACTCGATATTGAAGAACATATTCTCCTGCTGGAAAGGATTGATCGATGTATACTTGTTGCCCAACAAGAATTGTGGATATGTTAAATACTCGGAACGTGACAGTGCGCAAAAGGCAATAAGCGTACTAAATGGAGCTGAAATTTGTGGAACGAAAATCAAGGTCATGGAAGCGGAGGAGCGCAGCGGCTCAGATGGTGATGATAGCGGCAGAAAGCGGTTGCGTCGCAATTAAGTAAGTAACTCTTGAACAGAATTAATTCTCGTATCCAATATGAATTAATGTAGCCATAGTTTGGAATTCATCAACGGGTAATGAGGTAAGTTTTTAGCTTGTAGTATAACAACAAATCAGAAAAAAACTAACTGCTTTTGCTGCATACGAAACGCAAACTAAATAGACTTTCGCATATTTGTTCAGACTGTTCTCCGCCTTTCTTTATTACAATTAGTTACTACCGATCTGTACTTAACTTAAACTCTACATACATTCAGCGATTTGACCGATCGAACGTACATAATAAGAAAAACAATTTTTATCTTTCTATTTCCACAGACCCACTGACAACATTTGTACTTAACAGAGAACATTATGTACGAGTAGTTTACAAAACAAAAATAAAAGAAAAACACAACAACAAGAACAAGAAGAACAGTTCAATTATAAACAGTTCAACTGACGCAAGAACCGCCAAAAAAAAATAAAAACACTACGGAATCAACCAATACCAGAAACAAAACCACACAGAGCGAAACAGACACGGAATACGGAAACAAGAATTACCAACAACCAACAAAAGAACCGTACAATTATTGACCTGTTCCAAATGCGATGTAGTACTGAGGACCCACATAATAAATATGTATGTATGTATATCATATATATATAGACCAGACATAAACGGAGCCAACGAAACCGCAATGATTGTTTAAGAACTACTAACGGGACTATTGTATCAATCGCATTACCGTTACTCAAAACCAAGAAACTATATACATAAACGAACTCTTTGTACAATTTACTAACGTATTACGACAAAGATAAAAATATATACTATTTATACATATATACGGATTGTAGATTTTCGAATAGAAGTCCAATATAATTATTACCTAATAAAATTATAAATACTTTATGTAAAGCCTTTAAAGCGATATTAATAAACGAAATTACCAAAAGCATTGGTGGCTTTTTTATTTAAATATTATAAGTTACACATATGGTTGTTCGATAAAATGATACATTTTTGATAGTCGCTACACTTGCAAACTGGTTTAACGAGTAGTAAGCAAAGTGGAACTTGATTCACGGCTCATATAAAGCAAATTAGTTACTCATGAATTTTAAACCTTCGCATAACAATGAAATTTAAATATCAGTAATTATAATCGAAATCGATTGATTAATTTCTCGTCCCGCTATATTTTCGAAAACGGTGCTCTCGAGGAATCGATACAATAGAGACCGATTTCTCCGATATATTTAATTGACAAGCGTCAGCCCTGAAATGTCAGTCAACAGCTGTTCACAAGACGCTGTGTGCTTTACTTCAGTTGCTACTGCCTGAGATTTGTAAATTGTCTCAAAAATATTGTTATTAACCGTGAGCTAGAAATTATAAAAAATCAAAGATGGATCCAGCGTTACTTCGCGAGCGCGAAGCGTTCAAAAAAAGGGCTATGGCCACTCCCACGTAAGTGCACTAATCGAGACATGGTAAAAATTATTAACAATTTTTGTTGTATTCACAGTGTGGAGAAGAAAAACAGAACCGAAAGAGCTCCTCCACCTCCAAGTAGAGATGATTCCCAAAAGAAAATGCGGCCGCCGACGGCACCAAAACTGGATGCATCCACGTAAGAAGCAATTATTTGCAGTTTGCAATCAGAGATTTTTAAATGAAAGTTCTTGCAGATACAAAACGATGTCAGGAAGCTCTCAATATCGATTCGGTGTGTTGGCCAAAATAGTCAAATTTATGCGCACCCGCCATCAGGATGGCGATGATCATCCACTAACCATTGAAGAAATACTAGATGAGACCAATCAGCTGGATATTGGTCAATCTGTGAAAAATGTAAGTTAATAAATGTATATGATTCACTGTACTAATCTTTTTTGTCTCTTACAGTGGCTCGCCGGGGAAGCGCTTAATAATAATCCCAAAATTGAGGTCACACCCGATGGAACCAAGTTCAGCTTCAAACCAGTATATAAGATCAAGGATGGCAAAAGTCTGATGCGACTTCTAAAGCAACACGATCTTAAAGGCCTCGGAGGAATATTGCTGGAAGATGTGCAGGAATCCTTGCCGCATTGTGAAAAAGTTTTGAAAAACCGAGCAGCAGAAATTCTATTTATTATACGTCCCATAGACAAAAAGAAGATATTATTCTACAATGATAGAACCGCAAATTTCTCGGTGAGTAATAAGTATATGTTGCCTTAAAATATTTAACTAATCGTATTTATCGTTTAGGTGGATGAGGAATTCCAAAAGCTTTGGCGCTCTGCAACTGTTGATGCAATGGATGACGCCAAAATTGATGAATACCTTGAGAAACAAGGTGAAAACTTATATTTTAGTTTATTGAACAAATATCTAATTCATTGTATTTTGCAGGCATACGTTCGATGCAGGACCATGGGCTGAAGAAGCCTGTGCCGAAACGCAAGAAGGCGGCCAACAAAAAGCGCCAGTTCAAGAAGCCCAGAGACAATGAGCATTTGGCAGATGTTTTGGAAACCTATGAAGACAATACCCTAACCCAAAAGGGTGCCAATCCTACATAGATAATAATGAAAAACACTGTCAAAACATTTATAACATAAGTAGAATTATTTAAAAATACAGTAAGGAATTTATACGCATGTACTGAAAGATTATGTCAAATCATTTCAAGTGGTATATCAAAGTGTTAAAAACCTTTCATTTAGATTTATGAATGTTAGTTATCTGCCCTAGGTTTTGCATTTAAAAATATAACTTGTCGAACAAGAACCATAGTTAAAAGCAAAACTGTGTAATCACATAACAGTATATTTGTGTACATTTGCATCCGTGTATGTGTATGTGCTGGTTTTTGCTTGTGGTTGCAATCGATAAATTGGCCGCGTAACAAAACAAATGCCTCAGTCGATGCCAAAGCGACCCCCAAGCAGGTTGCAAACAGCACGTAGAGGAGAAATTACCATTGCGCTACAAACCGGGAATCAAGAAACCCGTTTTGAGCTTTTTCTGTTTTAATTTCTTGAAAATCTATTTTAGTATTCGCTACGCGTTTCAGTGTGCAAGCATGCGGTGCGCGGCGTTGGCAATGGTAGCGCTGCTGGCCTTTGGCTGGACGCCAGGTCCGGGCGATGCTCTGGGAGCTGAGTAAGTTAAAGCAGCTTTAATGTATAATTATACATGGTATAAATATATAATTAATGATTAACTGCTTTAATTGTAGCGATTTGGTATATGGCTACGAGTGTAGCAAGGGAATATGTCGAAAGGTCGAGCTGAGTGAGGAAAATTTCGCCTCGGCTATTAGTTTGCCCGTTTGCAGGCTGTTCTGTGGCAGCGACATTGGCACTCTCTGGCCCAAGCCAACGGGCGTGGTGCAATTGGAGCCGCTGATGCGACAGGTGGACGTAGCCAATATTGAATTCCAGATGCCAGGTACAAAAGACAATCTGTGGAAGTCAGCGGAACAGCGTTGGCTAGACCTGTTGGAGGCGAAGGTACCGAATCCCAAGATCCTCAAGAAGGGCGGCTACCAATTAAATATTATAGTCAATACTGCGGACGCAGGGGCACCAATGCGTCTCCAGCTGAACACGGACGAGAGCTATGCACTGAGCATAGGATCGAATAGCGCTGGTCAAGTGACGGCCAATATTACAGCTAACAGCTTCTTTGGAGCACGTCATGGCTTGGAGACTCTGAGCCAGTTGATTGTCTATGACGATATCCGCCGGGAGGTGCAAGTGGTGGCCAATGCCTCTATAGCGGATGCACCTTTCTACAAATGGCGTGGACTGCTGCTGGATACCTCGAGAAACTACTACTCTGTAAAAGCCATCAAGCGAACATTAGGTAGGCGTCTTCAGCGGTTCCACCTGGAATCCACATACAACATCTTTTCCATTTATCACACCTTGTAGATGGCATGGCCATGGTCAAGCTGAACACCTTCCACTGGCATATCACGGACACGCACAGCTTTCCACTGGAAATCAGCAAGCGGCCAGAGCTCTCCAAACTAGGCGCCTATTCACCAAGCAAAGTGTACACTCACAGCGATGTAGAGGATATAGTGAGTTATATATTTATATATATTGTACTGAAATCAGAGCTTTAGCTGGATGTTTTCGTCTGCTATACAGGTGGAGTATGGACGCGTTCGGGGTATACGCGTAATGCCAGAATACGACAGCCCGGCGCATGTGGGCGAGGGCTGGCAGCACAAGAACATGACGGCTTGCTTTAATGCACAGCCTTGGAATAAATATTGTGTGGAGCCTCCATGCGGTCAGTTAGACCCCACTGTGGATGACATGTACAATGTGTTGGAAGACATATTCAGTGATATGTTTAAGCTTTACAATCCTGATGTCTTTCATATGGGCGGCGATGAAGTATCCGTTGCTTGCTGGAACAGCAGTGCAAGCATACGCAACTGGATGCTGGAGCGTGGCTGGAATTTGAAGGAGGAAGATTTTATGCGTCTGTGGGGCCATTATCAAACGGAAGCTCTCAGTCGTGTGGATCGAGTGGCCAATGTGTCGAATACTCCCATTATTCTGTGGACCAGCACACTCACCGATGAGCGCTACATCGATCAATATCTGGATCCAGTGCGTTATATCATACAAATCTGGACTAAGGGCAATGACAGAGTGATCAAGAAGATATTGAAGCGTGGTTATCGCGTCATTGTATCGAACTACGATGCCTTGTATTTCGATTGCGGCGGCGGTGGCTGGGTAAATGACGGGAACAATTGGTGTTCACCCTATATTGGCTGGCAGAAGGTCTATCAGAATGATTTAGCTAAAATTGCGGGCGATTATCAACATCATGTGCTGGGCGCCGAGGCTGCCATTTGGTCAGAGCAAATCGATGAGTACACCGTGGATAATCGCTTCTGGCCACGAGCCAGTGCCTTGGCCGAACGTCTGTGGTCGAATCCAACTGAAGGTTGGCGACAGGCCGAGTCGCGATTGCTCCTGCATCGCGAGCGGCTGGTCGAGAATGGCATCGGAGCAGAGGCACTGCAGCCGCAATGGTGCCTACAGAACGAGAACGAATGTCCCATTGATGCGTATGACCTATAGTCTTATATATACTTGTAAATCTGTAGCAAGAGTTCTGTCAACTGTACAATTTATTATACTTATAGATATGCTCAATGCAGCGAACGGCTTTGGCTTAGCCTCTCCCTCGTTGCCATCGTCCTGCTTTGTGCCTGCAATAAACAACACTTGAAAGTGTGCGAGTGACTCGTCGTTTAATAAATTTATGAGATTTGTTTTACTCTAAATGAAATACAATTATGTATATTAATATATATAAGTATGTATATAAGTTATTTCTAAAAGCATCCCCAGTCACAGATCTGAGTATATATGCATTGGTAATTTACTCGTTCCAATCCTCCTCGTTGCGTCCAAATTTATATACGATGCTGCCAAACAGAATGAAAACATTTTGCAAAAGTAACGCGACGCCAAGACTTGTGTCCTTTTTATCTATAATGATAACGTCTAAAATAGTATTTGCCTTTTTTTTTTTTTTGTTTTGCTTTGGCTTACCATTGTTTATGAAGTCATCGACCATTACCCAAACGGCCGCGATAATAGACGCAAATCCAATGACAAAGCCAATAAGAAGCCATATCTTGGCGATCCTTGCGCCCGACTCGGAGGTGTTATCTTCTGAAATCTAAAAACAAACAACAGTAAATGACTCATTTTCTTTGTGTGTAAGATTCATATACATATGTATATGTATGAATATAGAAGTCTGTTATCTTACATGCTCGCCTTTGACTGTATTGATCATGCAGAAGCTAATTGTGCCAAATATGCCGATAAATACATGTCCTGTTGTGATTTGATGCTGTCCATCCCCAGCCATGGCATCGATTATTATCCACCAGCCTGTGAAGAACTAAAGGAAAACCAGACAATAGTTAGGCAATGCGCATTAATTTTTACACTGGATCTGCCATACCAGCAATCCTGCAACCAGCGCAGCATTTTTGTTCCTTGATGTTTCAGATGTGAACCAATCTCTAATATTTCCTAGCAAAGCCATTCTAAATTTCGTTTAATGTTTTTCCTAAAAAAAAAAACAGTCACACAGAGTTATCTTCAAGGCAGACGCACCTGTACGATTTATCGAATATATCGATATACTTGAACTTCTGCATATTTGAACTAGTAACGCAACAGCTGACTTTTGATCAATTTTGCAGGTCTATTGGCAATAGGTGACAACTCTGACTCTAGCACGTGCGACTCCAGCGGTATAAACAACATTTATTTTATTAAATATGAAGAAAAAACTAGAGGAAACATCATCAGACGAGGAAGAAAGTGTTGCCGACGATTCAGAAAATGAAGACGAATTGGATTTAGCGGGCAGCGCAACAGAATCTGACGAAGATGACGTGGATGAAGATGAAACCACGACGTTGCAGAAGAAAACAAAAGCCGAATTAATTGAGGAACAAATACACAGTAAATACGAACAGCTGAAAGGAACACGACTATATGTACGATTCCCACACAAGCTTCCACTTGATAGCCAGGAATTTGATGCGAAGGTAAAATCTCTTCATCCGCTAATAACAAAGGCCGCAAAGCCACGGCAAAAGCACGCACGGTTTTGCCTCGTGGAATTCAAATCCAAAGAGGATCGTGATACAGCTCTGGCAGAAATTAAGGTATCAATCGAAAGTGATGATGCTTACAAGGGTATCTTCATTTCGGTGCCGAAAACCGATTCCGAAGAGTTTGTAAACGAGCTGGTGGCACGCAAACAACAGTCTCTAGAAAAGAAGAAATCGAAAAACCTGTTGAAGCGAGCAAGCAAACAGGTGCAGCGCAAGGAAATCTTCACATCATCCGTGGTGATCACCAATCTACCCAAGACGACGTCAGTGGCACAGGTGCGCAAGCTGTTCGAGACTGCTGTCGATATACAAATCAAGCCAGGCAAAGGCAAATACCGCGACTCGAGCGCTGCAACGGTCACTCTCCCCACGACCATGGATGCTCGTAATGCTGTCAAGCGGGAGCTGAGCATAGGAGGCACCAAACTGAATTTGCGATTCCATACGCAGCAGCAGAAGAAGCGAACAGGAAAAAACCTAAAACGCAAGGCAAATAATGGGGAATCACGTCAACTAGCAAAGCAAAAGAAAGTGAAACGGACTATAGAGGCGGATTAATAAATAGTTAGCAACTATTTAATTTAAAAAAAGTATATATGTACTATGTAACTAAACTTTTATAAAATTGAATTAAAATTTAAAATAAACAAAAAAAAAATCATGCCGTTTAATAGATGTTAGTACATGGATATACATAAATATATCAGAATGAAAGCTCAATTAAATTTTAAAATATTTATTATCGTACACGATATACAATACAAACATATGTAGCATTAGGTATTTCTTTTTATATTCATTTAATAAGCCGAGTTTCGAGTTTTACTGGATATACATAAAGTTTGTTCACTAAGCCTATATATATATACACATATATAGTATATATATTTATGAGATTAATTTCTGCACAGAGAGGGAAATATGGGATCTCCAGTTTCGTATGTACTTCCAACAATAGATGTGTGTATGTTTGTGGGAGTTAGATAATTCATATGTGTTGTTCAGTGTCATCAAATACAAAATACTCAACATTCGCATATATATTTATATGTGTATATAAGATATATGTAAAACTCACAGTAAATGTTATTAGTTAATGCCAAATGATATCTGATATCCGTAATTGAAAACGGGGAGCTCCCAGAGGCAAAAAGAAACATCCGTTCATTCGCACATATTCATATATATGTATATACTCTATATCAATGCTTGTGCAGCTATTGATTTTTTCTTCTCAACTTTGACACGTACATTAATATTTATGCATATATATATATTGATAAAGTTCCTGAATGTTGGGAAAAGTAATCATCATTAATTATAAATTTATATATTCAAAAATGCAAAAGCGTTTTAGTATAATGCAAAACAATTATTTAGAGTTGACTTTACGTTTAGCTCGCTTAGTTATTTTTACGTTGAATGAGTTTGTTTTTTAGCTTTATAAAATGTTAGTTTTTCTTTTACCATATTTGTTTTGCTTGTTGTAAATATATATTTTCAATCAAAATCTTCTTTCCATTTTTCTTTATTCTTTAGACTACTTAACGTTTGCTTCACCTACAGCGACATTTCTTCGACAGTCTTCACATTAATTTTGCTGTTATTGTAGTACATACATAAATATACATATACATACAGACATATATATGCATATGAATATATTTATATAATATAGTATATTATAATTGGTTTTGTTTGTTTCTTTTCAAGCTGAAGGGCATTCAGATTCAATAAGGCGTTGAACATCCGCTGATAAAAAACTGCAGCAAAAATCGTGAATCATACGAACTGTATATTATATTAAATATATTCACATATATATATGTATATGGAGAGAGATATATAGATAGGTGTATATATAATTGATAAGGATTGAGTGTGCAGCCTGTTTTGAAACGGACAAATCTGTGTTTTTTTTTTTTTTTTGCTGTAGGATATTTTTGAAAATTTCGCGTTTTTCATAGAGATTATATCCGGGGGCTCTTTGGATAGATATACTTCATATTTTGTTCTTTTTTGTTTTGTATTACATTTGTACCCCGAGTTAAATTACGTGTGCAGCAGCCGATCTCTGGCTGAAGGTGAATTATTTGAGTTTTGATTTGTTGCGCTCGCCAAGAGCTGTTGATGATAGGGCGCTGTGTGTGCTGCTGCTGTTGTTGGTGGTGGTGGTGGCGGTTGAGCGGGTGGTGAACGCAACGGAATCGATGGCTGTACAAAGCGCACACGTTCGGCATCCGTGGCGGCGTTGTTCACAGCCGTTGCACCGGCTGCTGCATTGAACGCCGATGTGAACGCGTTGGCGGCTCAAAGAGTGTGGTAATTGCGCTCATTGCGTGCCTTGTAGAACTTGTAGGCGACCAATCCAATGGCCAGCAGACCCAGGGTTAGGACTATGCCTCCAATGAACGACGAGCCATCAAAGTGTCCGCATGGCACAGGCGTTGGTTTGGCCGTGGTGGTTGTCGATGGCACCGGTGTGGTAGTGCTCGATGTGGTGGGACCCACTGTGGTAGTTGTTATATTTGGAGCCACTGTTGTGGTGGTGCTGCTTGTAGTGATTGGAGCTGGAGTTGTTGTTGGTTTGGTTGTGGTTGTGGAAGTTGGTGGAGTTGTTGGAGTAGTTGGAGGTGTTGTAGTTTTTGGAGTTGTGGTTGGAGTAGTCGGTTGCACTGTGGTTGTTGACGGGGTTGTGGATGTAGTCGGAATTTCAGTTGTAGTTGTATTGTTGTCATCTGTCACTGGTACTGTTACAGTGGTTGCCGCCTCGGTAGTGACAGTCGTTCCCTTTGCTAAAAACAAGAGAGAAAAAACATACAAACACACGCATGCGAAACAGTTTTAAAGTAATTCAACTTGGCTTAATAGAAAGTTCTTTATGTTGAAATCTTCTTCAATTACGTCTCGCATCAAAATGTACGAACATATACACTGACACGCATATGCTTGCACACAAATGTATACATACATGCCGACGAGTGTGGCATTTAAAATTCCAATACACTCTTACATATACATATGCATTTATAAATTTGTTGTTCAGTGCAGGCACTAGCGCAAACACACACTCACACAAGCACATACGTAGTTGAATGAAATTCGCTGTGGCAATTGCTTACCTTCTTCTCCGCCTGTTACCTGACAACGATATGAACCAAACAGTCCCACAAACAGGCACAAGAGCAAATATTTGGCTTGCAGCTGCATTATTACGTTTTAGTCGTAAATAGCTTGTTTACTTCTTTCGCAGTTTTTCAATAGAACTGTGGGGTTTCTTTTGACGTGTGAGTCAATCTTCCGCTGTCAAAAGAAAAGTCGGTGAAAAACCAAAATAAGCTAAGGCAATCTAAAGTATGGCAACATTTTGTACGAGTCTACTGTAATCGGTGCAAATGTAATTACATATACCTAATTATGAATATTGCTCGGTATTTAACTTACCAACAAAATCGGCAAGGCGCAATCAACGAATGATTAATAAAAATCCAATCGAACAAATCACGAACAGATTTTTTTTGTAGTAAGAGTACAGAGTTGTACTTGCAACGATTGCAATTTCTATCGATTAACGATTGCGTATCCACTTTTGTAACACAGTCGACGGTCACACTAGTCATTCACACACACTGACTCAGACACTGGCTTTTTCAATTGCTTTATGGGAGCGGATTTAGATAAAAAAAGAAACGCGTTAATATCGTGCAATAACCAAAAATGACATCTTACGTACGTGCTATGTACGATTTTTCTGGTGAGCCCGGATCATCAGAACTATCCATATCCACCGGCGACATTCTAACTGTGACCAGGAGCGATGTTGGCGAAGGTTGGTGGGAGGGAAAAAACAGTCGAGGCCAAATTGGGCTCTTTCCAGCGGCCTACGTGGAAGTGATGTCCGCTGCTGAAGCGCGCCAGTTTACCACTGGCGGAGATACAAACGCTACAGCCGCTGCCAGTGGTCAGCCCTTCGATCCCTTCGATATGCCGCCACCAGCGCCAAGATACGACCAAACAGCCGATGACGACAACGATAGCATTTGGACAGATAGCGAGGACAATGAAACATATTCTGAGATAGCGCCACCAGATGGTAAGATGGGGGGAGTGACACGCAGTAGCGGGCTGACCCATTCTGCCAGCGACTACGACAACAGGCATCTACCTGTTGCTCCCAACGAAGATGGCATCTCGCTTAGCTCCGCAGCGGCAGGTGCGAGTGCTGGCACGATTAAAAAGGGCATGTTTGCCAAAAGTTCCGATTCCTATATACTCGGCCTGTCTAGCAACAAGGAGAAAATACCAGAATGCGAGATGGCGTACATAACACAATTAGAGGATTCCATCTACCAATGGACACAAAACCATTCGCCTTATTCCGTTGTTGTGGCTAGTCCCAAAAAGGAGTCAAAATTCAAGGGCATGAAGACGTTCATTGCCTACCAGCTGACACCAAGCTTTAATAATATCTCCGTGAGTATAGCTGAATTTTCCATTTTTATAAAAGTGCCCTGAAGTGTGTTAGTGTGTGTATGTATTTGCATATGCATATGTAAATACATATGTATATAGCTACTGATAACACAAACCAATAAGTTGCAGATCTTTTGTTTATTTTTTCCAATAAGAAGTGTGACGAAAAATTTCTTTTTATAAGTTTTTTTTTTTTAATATAAAGTTCTTAGTCAGATTGTTTGTATATAAATTTATTTGGTGTATAATTTTATATATTTTATTACTGAGCAACACATAAAAAAAGTTGAAATGTTATTGTGCAAGAAACTTGTTATTGTGCAACAAGTTGCTTTTCTTACCAAACTCCAATTGGACACTTGACGAAATTTGAACTAAGCGAACACACATTCTTATATGATTTAGAGGCATCAGTTGGAAAACTGATTGCTAATGCAGGAATTAAATTTACTTTATCTAAAGATAAGTTGTTATACGAGCAGATTAGTTGATTAAGGGTAATAAGGCAGTCGCTATTAATTATTTGCTCCCCACAGTTTGTGCCATATTATGTAGCTTAGTGTTTGTATATAAGGCTGCAAGTTGCAGTTGAAGTTGCGAGTTCAATTGGGGGCAAGCATCGAGGGCAGCTGACCAACTGATTGCCCACTCTCTGCATGTGTGCGTTTATTTGTTTGTTGTTGCAGTTGCTGCTACTTTACACATACACACACACCCTATGACTCAGTGCTCAAGAGCTGTGTCACAATTTCGTAATTGAATTGTTGTATCTAATCTAACATGGAATACAATTCAGGTATCACGTCGCTACAAGCACTTCGATTGGCTTCATGAACGATTGGTGGATAAATTCTGTTTGATACCTGTGCCCCCGTTGCCGGACAAACAGATCTCCGGTCGGTATGAGGAGCAATTCGTGGAGCATCGGCGTGTACAGCTGCAGGAGTTTGTGGATTGGGTCTGCCGGCATCCGGTCATATCGAAATGTGAAGTGTGGTACCATTTCTTGACATGCACCGACGAAAAGATCTGGAAGTCGGGCAAACGGAAAGCCGAACGTGATCCGTATATGGGCGTTAACTACTGTTTGGCCATCTCGCCGCCAGACAAGAATCTGCTGCACTCGAAGGTGGATGCCCAATTGGAGAGCGGGTCACAGTTCATACACAGCATGGATATGGCTATACGCAATTTGAATAACATTGCCAATGATATGGCCAAACGTTCGCTAACCCAAAGTAAAAAGGAATTCCAACGCATCGGCGACGGTCTTTCAGATCTAGCCAAGTCGTTGAGCATCGACGAGAGGCGTGCACCCACCCGGAACGGCGTGCCTCTGTCGGAGAGTGTGGGCCGCATTGGAGGCATTTACATTGGCATCGGTCAACTGTTTGGTGATCAGCCGAAACAGGATTGGATACCGCTCTCTGATCGGTTGCATATCTACAGGTGAGTGAAGGGTTAAATAATGCTGTCTGTGCAAGCCAATTAATAATTTATTTCTTTTTTTCAGAGGTGTCTTGAGCTGCTTTCCGGATATATTCTCGACGCACAAGGGAGCCATACAGAAGCGCAAGGATTGTGAGCGTTCGACGGCCGAGGGCAAGATGAGCAATGCCCAGCTGCAGGACGTGAATCGCCGCACAGATGTCATCTCCTATACGGTGCTAGCCGAGCTGACCCACTTCAAGTCCGAGCGAGATACGCATCTGAAGCAAACGATTCGAGCATTCATTGCCGAGCAAATTAAGTTCTATCAGGCCGTTGTGGCGCGACTACAGGAGGCGCATCGCCAAATTGAATAGGCAATTGAGTTCTCTGATCTGGATATAGTATATAAATTTATATAAATATATCATATCACGATATCACGTTCAGTCGGCTGGGAGCACAAGCAAACACGTACACTAAATAAGCTGAAAACAACATTCGCACGCGCGCATTTCAAATGCTTTACACAAATCGTAATACAACAATGGAAACAGAAAACTAAAAATTCTTATTAATTAAACTTTAAAACCTAATCAGTAATCTTGTTTGTAAGTGAAAAGTTGCGTATTTATACAAAGAGAAAGGAAAATTTAACATTTATATGCATATATCTATACACCCAAACTACAAATATAAACATATACATATATATATATTTATAAACCCACGAAGCAATGTCATTTTTGAGTTGTATCGCCCATAACTAATCCATAAACTAAGCTCGAACTCTATAAATGTATATAAAAATGATTAATCAATTTCTGTATTAAAATCGTAGTGCCCGATTAATGACTCAATCTACTGTGTATATATATAATTATATATTATTTTATGCTATATACAAAATTAATCATCAATAACATTAATAGTTGCGATATCAATTACTCATCAAACTTCTCCGCTTGTTGCCAGTTTTCTCTTAATGTAGAACTAGTTTATCCATATCAGCTGAGTCAAACAAACTTATTTCGAAAATAATTCTGTCTTGAATTTTCAAGGATTATGTATATTAAGTTAATAGCGTTGAGCTCTCAGGCCACTCTTAGGTCTACAGATTTGAGTCTTCTTCGATTTCAACCCAATCTTATGGACTCTACAACGGATCTGTATGCAATAGGAACAAAGGAATAAGGAACCTGGCGTAATTCAAAGCTCCAGGACATCTGAAAAGACACAAACTTTGCTAAACTTCTCGAATTACCAGGTCTGTTCTATTTATATATATATATATATATATATATATAACCTTACTATTCATATACAACCTTTTTTAACCGTATGCAAATTCAGGCTAGAGTTCAAAATTTATGGCCTGGCATGACCTAAAGCTCTTCTAAACGTAAACAAAAAATATCCAATAATTTAATATAATATATAATAATATATTCGATGGATTAGACACCGCCCGCAGCACCATTAAGAAAAACTCAATTGTTTATTTTTGCTATTCAGTTGCCTTTATCAGCGAAATTCTCTAAAGGGGTTTTTCCACTTTATTTTTCATGTTTTTGCTTTTGCCATTTCTCGTTTTGTTTTGTTTTTTATAAATCTTTTGTGATTTTCATTTTTGTTGATAAAAAAACATAAACGTAAACATATATTTTTATATGTAAGAAGATTGCACAATTTTTGTTTTTTAAAGGATTCACTTTGATATATAAATAATAAGCATAATAATAATAATAATAATAATGATAATAATAATAATAATAATATAGGGAAGGGAAAACATTCTTTTTTGTTGTTGTTAGCTTTGCTCATGCGGAATGAATATAAAAATTGTTGCTTTCTTTGCCTTTTAGCGCTGCGTTGTAAAGGGTTCAAAGAGTTGGGAAAGGTTTGGGTTTAGGGGCGTGGCTGAGGGCTTTAGGAGTCTCTTAGGGTCTTAATAAGTTTAATACATCTAGATAAAAACGCTATATACACACACACTTGAGTTAATAATAATAATAATAATCATAATCATAATCATAATGATAATAATAATATAACGCAGCTTGGGTTAACAATAATACAATAATTAGGTTTACTTTTCTTGTTGCTGTTTTCATTTGCCTCTGCTTCTTACTTGTCTCATCTACAATATTTTGTTTTTATTTTTTCCTTTTTAGTTTTTTTTTCTTATTTTTTTTTAACAAACTACCAATAACAAATTTTTACTAATTTTTTTTTTTATGTTTTCCTTGCTTTTTTGTTTTAATTATTGTTGCTTGCCTTGTTTACCTTGTTGCTGTGTTTTTGTTTTTTAATATTTTATATGTTAATTTAAGGATTTTTGTATTCCTTAGCAATTCCTTGCGTTAAAATGGCCTATACGTTCCGCCTCTACATTCCAAGTACAGTTATCATTATTTATGCAGTTATTTCTATATGATTTATGTTAATATGCAAGTGTTTACTTTGGGTTAAATGTTGCCCTCGAGTCGCTCCAGTCGGCCTAACCATAATCGCCCGAGTACCGCCCATGTTTGTTGCTGTTGCTGTTGCCATGCACTGCAGCAGCTGCTGCTGCCGCGGCTGCCGCCTGTGCTGCCTTTTCGGCGAGCAGTGCGGCCTTCTGTTGCATGTACGGATTGAAGTGTTGCATGTACATGGAGGCAGCAGCTGCTGCCGCATAGTTATTCGCATAGCTGTTGCTGCTGCGCTGGTTGCTGTTGTTGTTGCTGCTGCTATTATTGTTGCTGGTACTGCTGCTGTTGTTGCTATTGTGATTGTTCCAATGTTGCTGCTGTTGTTGTTGCTTGTGATGCTGCTGATGTTGATGATGATGTTGCTGCTGCTGCTGCTGCTGCTGCTGTTGTGATTGGTGTTGGTGGTGTTGCTGATGCTGCTGTTGCTGTTGCCAATAGCTTTGTTCGCCCATGTAGCCTGCATCTGCAGCAACAGTAGCAGCCGCAGCAGTAGCATCATTCTTCTGATACAGATAAGAATTGAGTAGCTGATGATTGCCTTGGAACATGTTCTCCATGGCAGCAGCAGCTGCTGCCGTTGGATAACTATACTTGTTGCTATTATTGTGATTATTTTGATTGTTTGCTGCTGTTGCTGTCAATCCCTGTTGCTTCGCTGCTGGTGCTGGTGCTGTCGCTGTTGGTGCATGGTAATTGCAGCCATTGCTGTGGTAATCTAGCTGTTGCTCCTCGTAGCTGTTGCTGTTGCTGCTGCTATTGTTATTGTTGTGGTTATTGCTGGCCATATTTGCCGCCGCTGCTGGCTCCTTATGAGCCCGGCTTGACTGTCATTCGCCAGTTGCCGTCACCGTCGTCCATTGCCAAGGGCTGGTGTAGCCCTGCTTTGGATTGCTGTTTGAGAATAAAAGCATATTTATTAGAAATCAAAGAGCAACATTTCAACTTGATTGCTATCACACACTTTTCGAATGGTCAAACGAATTATTTTTAAAAACTCTTCTATCGCCTATATCTTGATCTTCGAAAATTTGAACTTTCGAACTCGTTTGAATTTCTTTTATCGATTGACAATCAAATACAAAATATCGAAACTTGAATTGACATTGACTTAGTTTATCAATTATCGATTTAGTTCGATTCAAAAATGATTGTGATTTGAGCTGGGATTCGTATTTACCTGCCAAAGAGTGGATGCCACAGCGCCGAATTGGCATCTAGTCCGGCGGCGCCACCTGCTGCTGCAGCTGCGGCCGCAGCCTCTGCCAAATGTTGCTGCTGCTGCACCTCGTGGGCCAACATGTTGCCGCGTTTGCGCTGCTGCTGCTGCAGCAGTTGCTGTTGTTGCAACTGTTGCTGATGCTGCTGCTGTTGTTGCGACTGCGACTGGGATTGCTTGGCATGCTCGAGAGGATTGTAGGTGACGCTGGTCTTGCTGCTGCGCAGCGTGCGCCCGGTATTAGCCTCTTTAGCCAACTCGAGCGGCGATTGCTTGTGCATTGGATTGCGACGCAGGGCGTCGAAGGGCACTTGCAACAGTGGTACCATATTGCTTTCCGGCTCCAGCAGATTGGATAGCGACTTGCAGGTGAGCCGCGGCTTGTGCTCTGCGGGCTGCTGCGGGGCAGGCGTTGTTGCAGTAGGCGTGGCGGGCGTGGCAGTTGGGGCAGGCGCAGCAGGCGTTGCCTTTGGCTGCTGCTTATTGAAGTCGGGTATGTGCAGCGGCGCGGCATCCGCAGGATCACGCCTCGCACGCTTATGCTCCATATGCAGTTCCTGTGATTCCTTAGGCAGATGTTGCTGCTGCTGCTGCTGCTGTTGTTGCTGAAGCAGCTTATGCATAAACGCCAGCTCCATGGGATTGGAGAAGCCGTTGAAGGCAGCCGATGAGGGCGTTTGCTTGGTTGGCGTCTGATCCTGATCGCTGGCGTTGGATTTCTGCTTCATGCAATGCTTATACAGCTCATCCAGGTGCTGCAGCCCAAACTGACTGTTGTACAGAGGGAGCAGATTGCTCATGAATTTGCGCTGCAATCCCAGGGGGTCCTTGAGGGTCTTGAAGAATTCCTGCGAGAGTTGGCCGAAGTAGGGCAGCCAGAGCATCTGCTGCAGCAGCGCCAGCGTTGTGGCATTCAGCTCCTGCGACATGCTTGAATCGGCGGCTGGCGAGGATTGAGGCACTGCAGCGGAGCTCGCTTTGGCAAGCAGCTGCGTGGGCGGCGCTGGAGGAGGCGGCGTGGCTTTCGGAGCAACTGCAGCAGCATGCTTCAGCAAGCTAGGAGTAGGACTGGGACTAGCAGCTGCTTTGCTGCTCTGTTGCAACGGTAACGGCAGAGGCAGAGGCAGCGGCAACGGCAACGGTAACGGTAACGGCAAAGGCAGCTGAGAACAGGGCGAGGCAGGCGTGACGGAAGCGGAGGCTGAGGCAGAGGCGGGCATATGGGCAGGCACAGCCAACGCATCACCTGACTTCGACGTCTTGGAGGATTGCTCTGAATCGTTTTTGAGTATGGCCTCCAGCTGCTCCATGGTGACGACCAATATATTGGGATTCTGTATTATCTCTGGATAGGCGAATGCCTCCGGCAGCCGCAACTCTGGCCTGGTGGTCAGCAGCAGCGGTATCTCTCGAGCTGGCGATGCCAACACCGCGCCCAAACGATCCTTTGGCACTAGGATGGGATCGGGCACCTTCCACTGGGGGTTATTCAGGAGCATCTTCAGCTGAGTTAGTGCATCCGGATCCTTGTCCATTTTGATGGGCTTGGAGCGTTTCTTCAGCGGCTCCGCTGCGTCCGTATCCTCATCATCAATGACCACTGTGTGAAGTTTGTCCACGCTTCGCGTTGTCGTCGCCTTGCCCAGATCCATTGGTTCCGCCTGTTGTTGCTGCTGCTGCTGCTGGGCGTTGCCATTCAGCTTAAGAAACTGTTCGAATATCAGATGCTTGATCGTCTCCGAAGTGGTCTCCACTTCGGCTGGTATGCTCGTCGCTGGCATAGGCAGCATCTCTGGATCGGGCGATTTCGATTTCAGTATATCTGAACTGGAGGTCACCGCGCACTGGCTGCGCGACTCCGAGGGCGGGCACACCTCCTCTCGTTTCTTGTAGCTCAGATCTTTGGGCGTCTCATCCGGCACAGTGATGGATTCCAGCTGTTCATGCTCCTTGTCGGGCAGCACAGTTGCCACAGCATCTGCCTCCGTCTCAGCTTCTGGTTGCTTGTCAAAGCTATCGATGCCCAGGAAGAGCTCGCCATTGAGTCCTTCGATCTCGCCGGCCTCATTGAAGGACAGGCACTTGGGTGCATCGCTGCTGTCCATGCCCAAAATGCTGGGCAGCTCCTTGCCAGCGACCACATCCGGCACACAGAAGGAACTCAAGCCGGCAGCTCCACTGGCTGTTCCCTGCTGCAGCTGTTGCTGCTCCATGAGATTATCCTCGCAGCCGCGCTGCACCAAAGAATCAAGCAGCTCGGCTCCATTGCTGCCATTGTCGCTACTGCAGTTCTGCAGCAGATCATCAGCGTCGTCTAGCAGATCCTTGAGATGCTTGCTATTCGCTTCAAGGGTAGCATGATCTGCTGGAACTGTCTCCATTTCCGTCGCCGTCGCCGTCGACGCCTCCGCCTCCTCGGCGAGTGGCGCCTCAGCAGCTGCAACGGCTGCTGCTGCAATCGCTGCACCTGCAGCTCCCTTGGGCAGAAACAGACCCGTCTTGGGACATAGCTGCAGCTCCAGCGACGCAGGCGTTGGCGTGCGGGATCGAGTTGGTGATTGGGATCGCGATCGAGAGCGGGAGCGGGAACGTGAGCGTGAGCTCTGATATGTGGGCGTATTGGCGTTGCTGGTGCTGGTCTTTGTGGCCCTTGTCGAGGCATTCGTTTCGCTGTCGAGCAGTGCATCAAAGCAGGCTTCCGTGGACAGGTGCTGCTCGGACTGCTGCTGATCCAACTGTTGCTCCTGTTGTTCCTGCTGCTGTGGCGGCACAACAACTACAACATTCTCAATGACAGCCTGATCCTCCTGATCCTGGTCCTGGTCGTGATCTTCCTCCTGCTCTAGATGCTGTCGCTGTTGCTGTTCCTGATCCACTACAGTCCACTCCGGCTGCTGTTCAACCGCCTCCTCCTCCTCTTCCTCCTCCTGCTCAATGGACTGTTGCTGTTGCAGTTGCTCACGCTTGACCTTCAGCAAGGGCGCCGCCGCTGTGCTGTGGAAGAACTTGACAATACGAGTGGATGAGGCATCCGTACGTGGCATTGAACGCCAGCCGTTCGTTGTCTTGGTCAGGCGTATGCGATTGCGTTTATCATAATCCTCACAGCGGACCTCCACAATGCGCGTGTCGTCCTGCTTGACCCACAGAAATATGGGATTCACGCTCGGCGTTGTCGGAGTTGCAGCTGCAGCTGAAGCTGGGGCTGGAGTTGGAACTGGTCCTGGAGTTGTTGCTGTCTGCCGAGCGGCTGGCGACAGTTTCTGACTTTGGGTGATTTGAGGCGTTGCTGCTGCAGCTGCAATTGCAGTCGGCGTAGCAGCAACTGTTGCCGTTGCTGATGCAATTGCTGTTGGTGCAGCTGCAACTGTTGATGCTGCAGTTGCAGTTGAAATTGCGAATGTTGCATTTGATGCTGTTTTGGTTTCCAGTTTCACAGCCGCCAGCTTTGCCCTCGGCTGATCAGGCTCTAGCTGCGACTGCGGCTGCAGCTGTGGCTGTGGTTCGGACTCTAGCTGTGGCTCCAGTTCCGGCTCAGATACCGGTACCGGTACCGATACCGCCTCTATTGGCTTGGCTGCAGGCAGTTCCACATTTGCTGCCGCGCTGCACTTTGGTTCCGTTTTAATGTCACGCAACAGATTCTTGTTGATGCGCGGTGTGTTGGCCACCTTTAGGTGACCAAATTTTTGCTTGGCGCGCGTACCCCGTGCACCGCCTCGACCGCGTCGACGACGCGTGGGCTGCTCCTCGAATACCAGGAAGATGTCGCGTGCGATTTTTCGACGCTCCGATTTTCTGTGGCACACAGGAGGCGCTGCATCGAATTCCTGTTTAACAATGGCTGCAGCGGCAGGAACGGCGCTGCTGCCCGCTGTTGTGTTGCTATCATCATGGTTACCGTTAGCCTTATCGCCGTTGTTGTTGTTGTTGCCAGTATTACCGTTAGCTACACATTCACTTGGCCTGCAAGTGTTCCTTGGCATTTTACGACCGGCCGCTGGTGTGCCACAATTGCCACTATAATTAATCTTCTACAACGATTGTCATTTTATATTTTGCGTACATATAGTGCTTAATTTTTTTTTCTTGTTCGCTTTTGCCTTTTACACCGTATGCTCTTTTTCTTGCACTTCTTTCTTATTGGAATTTTTTTTGTTACTTTTGGCTGTGTGTTCGCTTGCTGGGTGTATCTTTACAGCAGTTGTGGGTTATTCTCCAGCATCTCTTGCATTTTGTGCATTGTTCCAGCTGCGTGCCTAATTTATTTAACTATCTTCACTTTATATGCTTTGCCTGTGCAGCTATGCGCTGTGTGTTTTACGTTGACAAAATCAATGAATTTTGTATATGTACTACCTCTGCCTCTGCGCGCAGTGTGACCGAACTTCATGTGGTATCGAAATCGATACTTTGAATACCAGTTTATGGCGCCCAAATTTGATTTAAGTTCAGTCGTAATAATCATAAGCATATTTACGTAAGTTTCTATGGCGTTTGCTAATGAGTTTTCTTAAGATATTCTTATTTGATTAGCCTGAATAGTGAAACTTACTTTTTCTTACTTAAATATCTTAAAGTAAGAATACAAACATTGCAATATAAGCTTCTTATATGTAATGCTCATCTTAAATCAGGAACCTAGAGAGTATATTTCATAAGGGAAAATATTTTCAAAATAAAAAAGCTCAGTTGAGATGGAAGTTGCTTTTAATTATCTATATAATTGTTTGATTTATTACTTTTGTTCTCAAATGAATTATGAATACAAACTCATTCATTCGCTTACGGAATGCCCGTCATAGCTGAAGAGAAAAACGATATGTCAGATAGTAAAAGAGTATCGATACATCGATTTAAATCTTGCACACCCACTATCATCGCTAGTCTTATCTGTGTTGTTGCTCTGCGTGGACGTGATAATTTTTCGTTCTTTATTCGGATCGCCGCTGTGCTCTTTATAATTTTTCTAATTTCTTTGTAATACATATGTACATACATATTGTATGTATCAGCATTGCGCAGTGATATAATTAAAAAAAAATTATAAAATTGCATGTATAAAATACATATATATGAGTGCATAAGTGAGTGTGAGTGTGATATAGAAGTAGAATAAGTACAAAATGGATGCGGGCAGCGATGAAACGTTCCAACAACAACAGCAACAACAATACGAGCACAGCTGGAAGTCGTCAAATCACGGAAATTCCTTATCAGACAGTAGGGATTATGATACAAACTCAACACGCACTTCGTTAACGGGCTCCCCACCAATAACGCTGGACTTTGAAGGCTTCGAGGACAAGGCGCTGCTGGCATCGCTGCTGGCTCCGAAGTTAGATGCGGACGTTGGCAGCGGCAGCGGCAGTAGCAGCAGCAGCGGCAGCATTTACAGTCATGCGGCTGGGGAGCAACAGGTGCTGCAACCATTAGGCATAAGTTTAACACTAGAGGCGGACAATGCAGTCACTACAACAACAACAACAACGTACACATTGCTGCAGGAGACAACAGACAACAACAACATTGACATAGCTGACGATGCGATATTCACATTAAGTGCACCCCTGTTGCTAACCAGCACCACCACCACCTCATCCACACACACACCGACACATACACCCACATCCACACCCACAGCCACAGCCATTGCCATGCCCATACGATCAGAGAATACAGCAGCTGTGGGCGCATACAATGTGGACGATCTTTGCTTTACGCTGGAATATCAATTTCAAAATCAAGAGCTCGTTCAAGTGCAGCCACCCACAGTGGTGTCCTTCAGCATGGTACCGGCAAATGAAGATCCTTCGACAACAACAACAACAGCTAGCAGTGACAGCAACAACAACAATAACTACAACTCAACACCAAATGTATCAAGTTCTACTCCTACTACTATTTCTACTGCATATTTCACTGTCGGGACGAGGTAGTAAGCACTGGCAGCCACCCTTTGCATGCTCTGCAAGACTGTTAATTTTTGCTTACGCTAATCGATACTATTAATATTGATTGCCTTTATAACGCCTGCAGTTATTGTAGTTATTATAATCGATATTTATATTATTTTGAGTGGCATATGAGTGAATGTTGAATGTTGCCAGGTGTTTGCATTTTAGCCCAATTTTTCTGTCTGTTGTTGACCCCCGCCCATGGCTAAATTTTCCACTGCCCACACAAATGTGCCGCTGCTGCAAGTTTCTATCGTCTGCCTAGAATGTGACGTGCTGCCAGCCCATATACAATGTATCCATCTATCCTTGTCTATCGCTCGTTTCTATTTCAAACCTAATTAGACTCAAAAGCCAGCCGTAAAAAGCAAGCATATATCTTCCCCTTCCTCATAAATTTTGGCAAATTTCAACAATTCCAATGTCCACTTCTTACAAAGCGCGTTCGTTAAATGTCCGAAATGCTTGCAAGTTGTTTGCTAATTGCCTGATTTGTGTTCCGCCGGTGTTCTCCCACCTCTAATGCATACCAATACACACATACACTATGTATGTGCATATGTATGTATTCTATGCTTTGGGGGAATGTAACGGTTTTCTGCTGCTGCTGCGACGGCGGCGTTGCAATCGCCTTCTCCGATGATTGTATCCAAATTGTTTGTTTGGTCTAAAAATAATTATGCCGATGAACGCATTTAGATATTCCCCCCACTACAAGACACACACACAATTACATATATACATTTAATACTATATACATATTTAATTTTGTGTACACATGCGTATACATACTTGGAAAGAAAAACACCCAATTTTGTTCTCATACTCATTCACACTATCTGTAAATGAGCTGTTTTCCAATTGGATAACCCATGATACAATTGGAATCCAGAATGTTCCATAATGTTGAGAAAATGATGTAAACTAAAAGAGTTTTGCATCAATTCTAGCTTTTCTTTTAAATTTGTATATATGCATAAATATATTTTTATATTTTAAATCCAGCTTTGTGTTCATTTTTAAAGCCTATAAATCAGTGGAATAATGTTTGCATTTCTTATCAGAATTTGTTAGCAGTTAAGACACTTGGTCTAATTGGCGCACAATTGTTGTTCTTGTTAGATTTGTTTGTTAACGTTATATTTAATGTCCTAGGGAAATGCCTTTTTTTTAATTCTTAGATGTTAATTTGGAATATTTTTATTCCCTCATCTTATTCGCTATTTACGTATGTATATGATCCACTTTGAGATCCCAGTGGAAGCATAATTTTAAATGATTTGTAATGACGTGGTTAGCCTTAGCTATTGTAGTTGATTTCATTTTTAGTACAATAATAATTATATTTATCTTTTCATTTTTTTTTTTTTTTTCATGTTTATTGTTGTTGTCGCTTAGCTGTTCGACCCTCTACGTCTACGTCTGCGTCGCTCTATTTTTATCACTATGAGTGTTCCACCTCAATCATATTTCTCATTTTTCAGCACTTGTGATTAGGGCAGGTTGTGAAAGGGGCAGGCAGAGCACCTAGAAAGAGGGAGAGAGAAAGCGATTGGGGTAGAGTGAGTGTCAGAGGGGAGGCCGCCAGCTGTGTCCGTGACAGGGACAGCGATTGGCAGCAGAGAGTGTAGGTAGTGGACGAAGAATCAGAAGAAGGGGGACACCGCTGCGCGCGCTGCCCGTCAGTCACGCCCCCACATTAATTTCTAAAATTCAATATTGTTTTATTGTTGTTTTCTTTTGGCTTTTCCTTCAAAGTTTTTTTTTTTTTTTTTTTTTTTTTTTTTTTTTTTTTTTTTTTTTTTTTTT